CTTACACACACTCATTGGCCACGCAGTCATATTTTTGTCTACCACATGTTTGCGTGTGTAACCTTATCTATTGGTGACATATGGGAGTTTTTATCGTGGTTATTCTTCCTCTGGGTGAAGTTGTAGTTCTATGATGGGACAAATGTTGAGACTGACAAGCAGCAAGTGCTGCTCTGGCATGTAATCTCCTCCTCAGCATGCAACTAGAGACACATAGGAAGAATGGATGAGAGAGCAATTGTAGAGTAGATAAAGAGAGATTAAGTGTAGTAACTAAAAATCAATGGAAAGAATATTTACAGTGCCTCTTTAAAGTATTCAGTCGATTAACTTTTTTTTTTTCATCATGAAGTTTCAGACTCATCACATACATGGTATGAATGCCATTATCTAAGAGAATTTGGCACAGGATGTGAAATGGAAGAAAAATTATGTATTTGTTTGAAACATTTATTTTTTGAATAAGACGGTGTGACATGCATTTATATTCACTTCTTTTCATCAATTCTTTGAGAAAGCACCTTTAACAGTAGGGGTGTAAATCACATCCATCATGGCGATTCGATTCAGTATCGATTTCCTGATCCAACGATTCGATTATTTTCGATACTTAAGAATACACCACGATTCGATTCGATTTGATTCGATTAATCGATTAATCGGTTAATTTTTTTCTTATTATTATTTATTTTTATTTTTTTTTTACACCTTACAGGCTAAACAAAGTTTCAAGTTTGAAATAAATCAATGAAAGCTGTAATATCATTATGCATTTTCTTTAGAAACAACAGCAAATAACAGAAGTAGAAAAGTTGCATCAAAAAATACTGCAAAAATACTGCACAATATCAGTGTAATGAGTTCAATGCAATACCTCGGCTCCAGAGAAACTGTCCAACATATTTTTTTAGAATGTAATAAATATATTCAGGAAAGAGAGATGTTGTGTAGAGAGTTAGACAAGAATAAAAATAAACTACATATAAGGGAATTGTTTCAAAGGTCATCTGGGGATGTAGTTTTTGGGGGTATTTTTAATTTTCTAAGAAGAACGGGTATTTTAGGGAGAATATAATAGTTTGTCTGGTCCATACTCCATTCTGGAAGGTGGCGGTAATGCAGCTATAAGTTGTTTGCCAACCGCCATTAAAAAAAAGAAGAAGAAGAAGGCTCCAGAGTGTTGACGTCACCGCCCCTTGAGAGACGCTCCGCTGCATCTCTCCCAGATTGTAGCTGACCGCAGACAGTGCACCAGACAGGAGGCCGGCTAGTTTTGTTTTTATGACCGAAATTGCGGAAAACAACTCGTGAAGTTTGACCCGCTAGAAGATCGAGGTGCGCGAGAACGCTGGGAGCCTTTTTCCAGCTGAATCTCCGCTCTTTTTGCCCCATTGTCCCTCCGTCGTCGGACTAAACTCGCCGCCACTTCCTCATCACCTCGGCCGTATCTAGACCCACAGCGTGTAGCCCAGACCACGCTTCAATACTGAGCATAATTTAAAAATGTCTGTGTGAAGCTTGCGGCAACAAACTGCTGTAAGAGTATAACCAGGAAGCGAGGTAGGAGGGCAAAATAGGTTTAGCGCCACCGCAGCACGGGAGGGAGAATTACACCCAGGAGCAAATGGATAAAAATAGACCGGAGGAAAAAAAAAACATTAATCGATTATCTTGCGGACGTGTCGATGCATCGGATCGTCGGCTTTTGGATCGATGCATCGATACAAAACGATTATTATTTACACCCCTATTTAACAGCACTAACATCTCGATACTAAAATTCTTGCCAATTCTTGTTTCCAAAAAAAAAGCAAAAATGCTCAATCAGACTGAATGAAAAGGGTCACTAAACTTCAATTTTAAAGTCTTCCCAAATATTTCAAAATCATGTGGACAGGGCCGTTTATATAAATGAATGCTTTCATCATGCCCATTTTAGCTTAGCTTTGGCTACTTATCTAAATATGCTCCCCAGCTGGAAGCTGTGCCTTCCCCTGGATCTCAACTCTGATCCAGATTCAAATGGGTTTTCCTCCAGTATTGGTCTGTATTTTGAACCGTTCATCTGCATATCGAACCTGACCAGCTTCCATCTCGCTGCTAAAGAGAAGCAACCCCACAGCATGATGTGGCCACCACTATGCCAAGCTGTGGGGATGCCGCTATATAAAGCAGATGGGTAAGGATAAACTTCCTCCATACATTGCATTTTTTAAGTAAGTTTAAACTTTAGTGTTAACTCAACAGAGAGCCTTCAGAATTTTTGCTATGTCTTCTCTATGGCTTATGGTTAACCGGCACTATTACAGCCTCCCATTGAACAAAGGCTGTGTTCTTGCTAGTCCTTAAAAAAGGACAGATTTTTTGAGTACTAAAAGCTGTCCTGTCAATAGAATCTCCCATCTGAGCTGTGGATCTAATAAGCCCATGTCCAGCTTGTCAGTCAAGGTGGACCGCCATGTAAAAGTGAGTTTGCAGTGTTGCCATAGTCTAAATTATATTATCATATGATTTAACCCTGACATGTTTGCTGTTCTTTCTTCTTTATGATGGAGCTTGTTCATAGATGCCAGAACAGCCAGATGTATGCTGAAATGAAATTACACAGAGGTGTACTTTATTTACAAACTAGGTGATTCTTGTAGGATAATTGATCGTGTTGTCAGAGTTCCCTGAGCTGGCAACAGAAATGCCAAGGTAAATACATTGGCATCCTTCACTTTACAGGGTCTAATTTATAAAAACGTTTTATCATTTACTTCTAATTTGCCGTTTTGTTGTTCATCATGTTGGTTCAAATCATAAAATCCTTATTAAATTAGCTATAGGTTTATAGTTAAAACTAGAGCTGAGAAATTGACTGAATGGCAGAAGCACTGAATTTTGGTCAAAATACATTTAAGAAGAGTTGAACACTGACTTTCTCACTTCAGCCATTTAAGTGACCATCATTTGCTGAAAATAGATTTGCTGCCACACAGAATAAGAAAAAAAAAAGTTGCAGTTTCTAGGTTTCAGATCCATGCATGAAAGCAGAAGTAAGAGCTTCTCAAAACAACAGTAACGATAAAATCCTGCCATAATAAAAAAAAAATGTCAAGGTCATTAAAACAATGATACCCTGGAGAGAAACATCTACATAAATACAGTTTCTACAAAGGAAAATCAAAGCAAAATGTCGATTTGGATGTTAAAAATAAAAAGGTTAAAGTAAAAATCACAGATTTAATTTAGGCAAAATTGTTCAACCCTAGATAAAACATAAACATTGTGGCCAAGTGGTGTATATTTTAATCAAAAAGCAGCAAAAAGCTAAATTAATCAAGCAAGATTAAACTAAGTGATATAAAAACTGAAACCATATGACCCACATATAAGCTAAGCTAGAAACACCTGCCTTGGTACACAAAGCCCAGAGCTGCTAACTGACCTGCTAATTGCTCTGATCAAACACTGAGAAACCTCTGCAGACCGAAGCACCAAACCAGACACCCTCTATGAATCTGAAAAACAAACTAATTCATTTTAATACAGGGCAGGGAAAAGAAAGATAAACCTCTCCAGGTGTACTATTATAAATCACCTTTACTTTTATAGCACTTTTTTCCAAGTCAGGAGATTTGACCAAAGTGCTTTACACTATATCCAATCATTCACCTGTTCACGCTCACACTGATGGCAAGCAATGTTACTTCTAAGCGGCACGCCTACACAATTACAAACTGCTCGCACATTCTCAGCTCATAAAATAAAATTAAACATAAACTGTAAGTCAGTTAGACGTATAAATTTTTTTTCTATATCTTTTTGAATCTGTGTAATATTTATTTTACAACTCAAAAATGAAAATGGGTCTGGTGCATTCAGGCAGTTGTCTGAATGTACACAGATTGAATTGTCCCCCCGAATTACGTTACATGATATGAAGAAACAGAAAAATTTGCTTGCTATACAACATTAAAAAAATAATATATATAAAAAATGGGAATACTTTTATATTCTTTATTCTGTTTTGTTTGGGCTCTTATAGTAGTATCTTAGCCTGTTGGATGTGCAAGCCCGCATAATTAAATAAGCAATATTTAGCTGTTCCTGTTCATGATCTTGCTATTCGCCAATGCAAGTTTCATATATCATCATCAAACAACTTCTTAACAAAAAACATTACATTTAGGAGTTGCATTTGGATGAATATGTTTACTAAAACATTGTCCTTTAAATATTTTCAGCTGCAGGTGCATAAATAAGTAATCCAACAGGAAAAATATGTGGCAGATCAAATTATTTACCAGTCCAGGCTTTCAGAACAATAAAACCACAAGTTTGTAACAGTCCAGCTATCCAGGCACATCTTAAAATGCACCTGTTCACTGTGCAGCACAATGCACCATGTGCTTTTTTAATTTTTTGATAAATTCAAGTACATTAGGAAGGAAAAACAAAAACAGGCCAATTAGCACATTCTCAGATATGGTCGCTGTTGCACGTAGATGTGAGAAGCTAAAGGAGATCTCATAGCTTGTAAATATTCATCTTACATTTCAAGCATCCAGTGCTGATTATGGAGGAAGATTTGTTTTCATGAAGCATAATATAAGCATAAGCATAATATAAACAGCATCCAGAAAGCTGTTTAAGTTGCATATTTGGACAACCATTGGAGAAGTGAAGAGCACAAATGTGAACAATAGATACAACTTAAATGAAGACAGATTTGTTTATATTATAATGGCTTTTCTTATTTGAGATACATTTAATATTAGTAGAAATGCAAAAAACCGAGAGTCACAGTGAGAGACAATGAGTTATAGGAATTTACACTTTATCAAAAGCTTCAGCACACATTTCAATGTGCAAAATGTCAATATGTCTGAAAGGTATTTAAAAAAAAAAAAAAAAATATATATATATATATATATATATACATACATACATACATACATATATACATATATATATATATATATATATATACATATGATAACTTAATGATAACTCACCCACTGTCCTGAAGCTTTGTAGGGGGATCTTGAACTGTTTGTGACACTTCAGATTCCCCAGCTGGGACTTTAGAGGTCACTACAGGAAGGACCTTTGTTGGTTTTTCATATGGCTCTTCTAACTCCTCTTCTTGTAGTGCAGTCTCTGCTCTTGACTCGTTTCGTGGTAAATCTTCTACATGTCCTCTTTCTCTGGTTTCTACCTCATCTCTTGTTGGTTCTGGGGTACCTTTGGTCACTTGAGCAGGTATGAAGATATTAGTCTGCTCTCCTGCCCCTTCAACAGGTTCCCTTTCAGAGTTTAAAAGCTTTTGAGATGATTCTGACTCTAAGGATTTTGGTTTTTCAGATGATTCTTCTTGGATCTCAGCCTTTGTTGTCAGATTGGCTGTATGTTTTGTCGGTTCAGAAGGTATGACCTTTTCTAAAGGTTGAGGAAGATTTACTGGCCTCTGCACAGCACTCAGACATGAGCTCAGTGCTGCCTTTTCTTCTGCTTCTTCTGATGGGACTGTGTCCTCGGATCTGGGTGGAGAAGCTAGCTCCTCACTGGGAGTTAAAAAATCAACCTGAGGAGAGTCCAGAGATGGGAGTGGGCTGGAAAAAGAACAATGGAAGAAGAAAAGGTTAATGGCATTGTTGTTTAAGAGCAAATATGCCAACAAATAACAGAAGTGTTTTGCAGTGGGTTTGTGCCGCCCTGGTGAGGCAGGATATGCAGAAATGTTGAAGGTGTGGTCTGAGTGAGAAGAGGCTCATTCTCTCCCTGGGGATCAGGGACCATGTCACAGCTGATGTCATCCTTTGAATATAATGGGCTGCTTCACTTTCATTAGAGTTCAACTGGCAGAGTCATATGACTGAGCTCCTTTCAAATACAAAGTGCAGCTCTGTGTTTACATCCTCATTGACATTCATTGTTACTCTGTGCTACACAATATTGCACCAAACAAGGCCTGAAGATGGTGTTACTTTAAGTTTTATTTAAAAACAAAAATGCTAACAAAAATGTCTACATGGAAGCAAAGACATTAAAAGGGAATAATTCAGATTTCAAATATTATGATTATTATGATGTTCCTTTATGCTATTATCAGTAACCGTTTCTTTTGTAAAAAAAAAAAAAATATATGCATGTTTAGTCATTTTTTGTGTGTGTGTTAGAAACTATACAGGTAATTAAATGATATCAATATAGTAGATAAAAAAATTTTATACATTTTTTTATAAAAATAAATAAGTATCATTAAAGACATCTTGGGACTTCTGTTTGGCAAGACAATGGAGTAGGCACGTGCTAATAGTGCGCCATACGTATTCTTATTTTTCATATTCTCCAGCCCTCATACCTCTCAGCCCTGTGTTTCTTCTGTGGGTCATAACCCTTTGATAATCACTATGCCAGACAAAGTGACCCAAAAATGCCCTCTGAACAACGAAAGCTGCGGACAAGGAGGTTACCAGCGCTACTGCTCCTGGGCCTGGTCTTGCACTTGACACCCTTACTGCGCTACTTGAGGAACGACAGCAAAAGCTGTTGGATAATTTTAAGGCATCTTTTGATATAATTGATGCCAAATTGGACCAATATAAAATATCTTTGGACGACCAACAAATCTCTTCACTTGAGCAAGCCTCTGATGACCTAAGCCAGCTGGTCTTGGATTTTGAGAATGCCTGCTCTTTGCTTTGGTACAAATATTATCAAATATTAAGCCCCTTTAACTTACTTTGTGGCACATAACAAGGGTGCCCCTTGAGTGTGGTGCATAGGGTCGCCCTTTACGTGGATGACCTCCTGCTTCACGTTTCTAATCCAGATGTATCACTTCCTCTTGCTTTAGCATTGCCAAGTAATTTAGGCAGTGTCTCGGGCTACAAGCTGAACATCAGTAGGAGTGAACTTTTTCCTATCAATGAAACAGCATGAGCTCCACACTTTACCAATATTAGCTTTAAAGTTAAATTTACATAATTTAATTATCTTGGGGTCACCATCAATAAAAACATTTAAGGTTATTTTAAAGAAAATTTAGTTCTACTACAAAAAATAAAACAATTATTACCACAGTGGTCAACCTTAAATTCTATTAAAATGGTTCTTCTGCCTAAACTTCAATACCTTTTCCAAACCTTACCAACTTTTTTATTTTGGGTTCATTCTTTCAGCAGCTGGATTCTGTTACATCCTCATATAGATCCTTTGGGTTTTTTGAAGGTATACATTATTCAACATTTATAAGGAGGCCTCTCTTTGCCAAACTTTAATTTCTTTCGTCTTGTGCATTGGTCCTTTTACTTTGAAAAACCTGCATGTCCTGACTGGGTCGCAATGGAGTTCTGTCCACACAGCAATATCTCTTTTCTGGCTGTTGACAGCTTGGCTTTGCTTAATGCTTCAGTGTATCTTTTAAAAACCCTGTCATTAAACATTCACTGAAGATATAGGCTCGATTTAGGAGACAATTTGGCCTTTGCATTTTTCCTCTTGCAGTTCTGTTGTTGCTAACCATCGTTTAAAGCCATCTATCCAATTGAGTTTCCAGTGAAAATTAGATAATTCCGGTTTTCACCAAAACTGTATAATTCATTTTGAATATCTACTATACTATAGCATCATTTGCCAAGCTGAAAGACGAATTTAACCTTTTAAACACAGATTTTACCTCCAAGTACGTCATTTTCTCCCTTCTTACTTGCCAAACCTCACATCTACCACAGAGACACTAACAATGGATTTGTTCTGTCATTAAATCCATCATCTTTTTTCTAAGCTGAATTACATAATGCTTGATTTGCTAGTGACGATTCTCAGTCACCCAGGTCATAGTCATTCCAAAAAAAACAACCTTTTTGGGGTACTTGAAGTACTGCTAGAAAACATTCCATAGCATTTTCCTTACTGCTGGCACGTTGTACATTCTTACTCAAATTGGAAGACGCCTCCCCACCTATCTCATTCACAATGCTTGTGCTCTATAATGTCTCATTTAAATCTTGAAAATATTTTGTATTCACCCAAACAATCTCCTGATACATTTAAAAACATTTGGTGCACATTTTTGAGAGCATTTCCAGAATGTGTATGAACAATTTGCCATGTCTGATTGAACACACCTATTCTGTAAAACAGTTAATAGCTTTGTTTTGCATGATAAATTAATAAATTGTTTGCGTTAAAAAAAAGACATAATCTAATCAGTACTGATGATGTAAGAGGTTGTTTTTTTACCTTTTAAAACTAAAAGTAAACTGAATACCTGCCTGGCTCAGAGATCTGGAAGGTCTTTAAAAAGAGAGAGACAAAAGGACTTACTTATTCAATATTGCTTTTGATTATTCTACAGCTATAAACATAAGAGAAAATCCAGGTGGCCTTGATGTATTTCTAGTCTTTAAAGTTATTTATACAGTTGGAGAGACATTAGCAGGCTTTTTTCTCTGCTTCCCAAATTCCTTAATTGAAGAGATTTTATAAAATACAGATGGTCATTTCAGAAACCTTTTTATTCTTTTCAAGAAATTTTAATAAACTGGATTTATCAGGCTACTTCAACACTTTAGATGGGTCATGTTTAAAAAGTAAAATAATTGGACAGAACCTAAACTAATGATAAATTCCATAAAATGCCATCTGGGGTATAAAGTGGCTAAAGTTTTCTCCACTCATTTAGAAGTGGGGCTTAGGCTTTCAAAAGTTAAAAGTTATTATTTGGAGTAATTCCCCTATGTAGGTAATTTGCAAGCTGTATGACAATCAAAAAAACACCTTAACATCAACCTTTTTTTACTTTCACATTAGTATAAAGGTTTTACATATAAAAGATAGTATTCCATTAAGTGTTATAAATTTACTACTTAAGTGAGGTGCCAATTTACAAGGTGTAAATCGGATGCCAACTTCAACAATACGTCCTTATTTAAGGCTGCCATATAGCACTGAAGCTACCAACAGCTGGAGCACAGTAATGCAACTTTTGAAAAGCACCTTACATTATGTAATCACAGTGATAAAGTGCTTTAGGGGGAACAGTACTGTGAGAAATATTTAGAGAATCTAACCACAAAAAAAAAAATCGGATCCACCACTTAGTTCCCCATGACCACTAAAATGATCAGCATATTACAATTTTATACACTGTATGAATGTACTCTTGTCTTTACCTGAAGGAATCCTGTGTGCTCACTTGTTTGATCTCAGAAAGTGACACAGCATCTTCGAAGGCTTGTATCCAAATTTTCTCTGGTTCCTGGGATCCTTGAATGGGATCAGAACTCCCTGACACAGCTTGCTCAACAGGAGAGCTGCAGGTAGGAGTCTTTTCAAGAGATTCTGCATCATCTTGAGAAACCGTGGTAGGGGGGATTACTTCAATTCTGTCTTGGGGCTCTGAAAATGCCACCGGATCATAGGGTTCCTCTGACTCATTGGAGGCTGCAGCGATGGTTGAAGGATCAATGATGACATCAAGGCTTGTGTTATGCATCATATTATCACCTATTTCAGCTGCCTTGGCACAACTTACAGCCCCTTCTGAGGAACAAACGTGGATTTCTGTGCTGCTTTGTGGCACCAATTTGTTAGAGAGACTGGAGCATATTCCACCTTTATCATTTAAAATTGAAATCAGTAGTGTTCCTTCATCTTCATCATTGTTATCTTCTTGTCCATCCCCCCGAGTCATCCTCTTTACCATATCTGCCTCGCCTTCTTTTGTGATTTCCTCAACATTAGAGCTTTTTTGGGTTATTTGGACAATTTGGCTTCCATCTGTGTTAGAGCTGATACTGCAGCTTTGAAGCTCTGTATCCTCAATTTCACCCTGTTTGCTTTCTATAGCTAAGGCAGCACTGATGTCCTCTTTCCAAGTTTCTGTTTCCCCAAAAACATCTTGCATTGTGTTAAATCCATTTGGAGAGACATCCTCAGCTCCACTTGCACTAGGGATCCCATGATCATTTTGGCTGACGTTTGATGAAACTGAGAGAGGGATAGGTAAAGCTTCCAGTTTCCTCGTAGCAAACTCGACAGATGCTGTATGTTTTAATATTTCAGATGTACTATGCGGGCCCACGTTAGTTGTCTGGTTTGGCTTTATTTTTTGATCCAAATCATTTAGCTCTACACCAGGATCTTTACTCAGATATAATCTCTGCTCAATCTCATCTATTTGAGAGCAAACACCTACTTTCCCTGAGTAAACTGATGCCATTCCTTCTGCAGGACTTAAATTTGAATCTACAGGAAAAACAGATGGCACCTCTTCCCTCACGACTCCTGGCAAATCCAACAACTCATCCTTTTTTTCTAATGCAAACAAACTCTGAACAGAGCCATCTCCCTCCTGCTGAGCTACAGTCTGAGTCCAAATGCAAGCCTCTTCTTTATCTTCAGCAGGTCCCCCAAGCAGCTCTTCTTTGGAATGTGTGGATCTCAGACACTGCTCCATTTGCTCTGGTTCTTGAGAAATGATGTTTACTTCTTGCAACATCGAGAAATGGTCAAAAGTTGGCCTAGGATCTGGTGCAACGTCAATATGAAAGCATTCCGGCAGTGCTGGGACAGTTTGGCTCAAATCCTGGTCATAAACAGTCAGAGCTTCAGCACTTAACTCTAACTCTGGAGGTAAAAACCCATCAGAGGTTTTGCTGGGAGATAAGAAGGAAGATTGATCTTTACATTTAGATGGAAAGCTCCCGTTCCTTTTCTCTTTATTTGCTATTTCTGTAGGTGTTGATTCAGTCTTTGGCTCATTGTGTTTATACTGGGGCTGCAGAATTCCCGTTTCCATAAAAACACCATTATTCTGCTGCTGCAGCGTTAGGTCTGTCTTTCCTGTCTGCTGTCTTGTATCTGCTCCTTCCTCTTGATTATTCATTGTTACGTTTTCATTTAGCTTCTTTTCCTCTCCCATACTATTATCTTCAATATTAATATATGTCTCATTGGTAGGGCAGTTTATACACACTATGTCATCTCTATCAGACATTTCACTGCTAGCAGAGCCTGGCTCTTTGTGACATGTCCAAATTGCATTATCAGATCCTTCCTTTGACAGTTCATCATCTGCAGCTGAACCCTGGTTTGCAAGAGTCAAATTTTCCACTTGTGAAGAACCTAAACTCCTGGCGTGAGACATCGGGAGTTTATTTCCATTCTTCAGATCCTGAGGAGTTTCATCTGTTTTAAAACTAATGCTACTGTGGTTTAGATCATCTTCTAAAGAACTTATGTTAATTTCATCTCCCTTATTCATAGTCACCTTTCTAGAAACACTGGTGGTGTTCCCATTAGCATTGTGACTATCTGTGTGCTCTGGAAAAGAGATATCACAGCCAGTGAGAAACTCCAAGTGACTAGGAATAAGACTTGAAGACAAAGGTACCCTAGTAGACTCCATGACATCAGCGAAGAGTAGGCCAGTTTTAGGGGTCACGTCTGAGTAGCAGGATGGCTGAGAGGTGGTTTCAGGAGACTTTGATTCAGTGCAGATTGAGGGGTCGGCTTTAGCTTCTGAAACAGGAGCAGTATCGGTGTCAAAAAGCTCCTCAGGAAGGGTTACATTTTTGCAGGTAAAATCCTCAGATGAAGCATTTTGGCTCTCTTCCTTTTCTTTAAGGGTTACAGCAAAATCTTGATTTAAGGATGAGTCGCTTTCACCTGAATTTTTAGATTCATTCTCAAGGTGACAAACTTGGTTACCAATCTCCTTCACCAATGTTGGGGACAAAATCTGTTTTGTGCATCCAGTGGCATTAGACTTAGCATTTTCCTCTGAGTCTACTGCATTTTCATGGTGGTCATGACGTGAGTGATCTAAGTCAATAAATTCGTTGATATTTCCTTTACCAAATTTGGCTTCCTCTGGTTGTTCTTGAATATTTGAACAATGTATAACTGCTTCATCCACAGCTGTTGCTACATGTGTGGGTGTTTCTGGATCCTTGAAGCTGAGGAAATTGGGGAAGGTGTAGCTGGCTTCTGTCACAGGATTGTACAATGTTTCATGAACAGTCAAAGGAGGCAGAGAGGCACAGTCCAAACCTTGAACCAATATTTCCTTAGCGGTATCAGAAGAGCTGTTTTTAAGATTAACATCATCTGCAAAATGAACTCTGTTGTTACCTCCACGGGTGCCACACAGAAGGACAACACTTCCAGTCAAGTTGGGGCTACTGCTCACCCTCTGGCTATTGGCTGTGCTTTTTGCTGTCCTCTCCTCTGTGCTACGAGGTCCAACCTGTTGATCAGAATTGGCTTGTTCCTCACGTTGGAAGACATGATCGCGGTTATTCTCCATGACCAGTGATGGCTGAATAGGTTGTGTAAAAGGCAGAGCTTCCTCTCGAACCAGTTCTTGCATTAGTCCAGTCTTTTTCCCAGCGTCTGTATTGCTCTGCTGCACAGGGTAAGAGGGAAGAGGTAAAACTGTCACGTCATCCTGTTTGTGATAGAAATGCTTCTCTTCAGAGCCCTCAGGGATGGTACCGATCAGCTCAACACAGCACTGTGACTTCAGCTGTGACTTGGCAACATCACTGGGCGGACTTGCTCCTCTCTTGACTGATGACACCCCTCCAGCAAAGCCTTTTGGCTGGCTGAGTAAATTGTGCTTCCCAGCAAACCCTCCTTTCTCTCCCACCTCTCCTCCTCCTCCCCCTTCCTCCGTTACTCCCAATTGTTCAACACTGAGAGCTTGGAAATCGGAACCAAAATGATCAGTACAGCATTTTAAGCTTGGCATCGTCTTTTCTGCATCCTTCTCTTCAGCTGGTGAGAACTCTGCCTCAATGCTTCGAATGCACGCCTCTCCCGGTCCTTTAATTTCTGCTTCAGCCAAGTTATGGGGCATTTTGCTGCTGCAGCTCTCCTCACGTGCAGTCCCCCCCTCTCTGGCTGAGAGTTGAAGCGTGCGACTTCCCTGAGAGCAGATTAATGAGACCTGGCAGGGGCTCTCCAGGAGTTTGTCTCTGTTCACATCCGCAGAGCCAAGATACTCTCCTCTTCCTCCCCGTTTGCCTTCTCTTGCGCCTTTCTCACTCTCAGCAACTGCTACTGTAGCCACCCTCTCCTGTACATCACAGCTCACACTTTCTCCCTCTCTTTTGCTTTCTATCACTTCTGACAGTGTGGGTGTTGTCAGTGGCAACGCATTAACCACTATTAAAGCTTTTCCAAGGCCACTATCCACGCAACTGTCTCCCACACAAGCTCTGCTGTTGGAGAATAGGCTTTGATCCTCCTCTGTGAGTATTTTTGTTTCTGTAGTAACTATAGCTTCCTGCATCTGTCCATCCAACTCTCTTTCACTGGAATCAGCATGTCCAGTAACTGCAGTTTGATTTGTTTCTGGTGTTGTATTGATGACATTTTCTTCTTTGGTTACACATTCATCACATTTTGTGTTATGATTAATAGAATTCTCAGCATCCAAATTGTCAGGCTTATCTGATTGATGGGTCTTCTGTGAAAGGGCCTGCATAGAGATTAATGAACAAGCTGTGATATTAAGATTTTCTACACTACTTTGAGGGGAGGACTTCAGCATTCCTCCAGGACTCAGCTGCTGCTCATAATGAGTCTGTTCCCCACAAGTCAGTGGCGTAGTGTCTAGCTCTGACACTGGTGTAGAAACTGCTGCTAAATCTGTGTAAGTGCAAACATCCAATGGTGACAGGGTCTGTGTTTCAATTTCAGACTCCTGTGCTTTTGCTTTCTGTTCCCTCTCGGCTCTTTTTTCTGTCTTTTTCTTTTTCCTATGTTTCTTTTTCTTAAATTCTTTGCTTTGTCCAACCTGCTTCTCTGAATTTGACTTTGACTGATTATCCTTACTTTGCTTGTCGGTTTCTTTCTGTGCTCCTGTTGGTGCTAAATATAATAATTCTGAGTTAGGATCATCATTGCAAACATTGATATCAATCTCATCACTTGCATTTTTTTCCGATGAGGCTATCGTTTCTACTTTTCCACCTGGGACTTCTTTCATTTCTGTGCAAGAATCTCTTGAGGTATTTATCTCAGTAGTGCTACTTAAACAAACATCTTTGTTTAAGGTCTCCAAGGCTCTCAGGTCTTTTGGAGATTCTTTATTTGTAACTAATAATTCTTTCTGTTCATTCATCCCCGTTCCTACTTCAAGCTCTGAACATCTCTTCAGACACTGATTTGCTTCTACTTCCATTTCTGTTTCTATGTTCTCTGTGTTATTCTCAGTCCCTAGAATGTAATCCCTAAAACTAAACACAACTGTATCCATCTGACTGTTGGCTGCCTCAATATTTCCATGTGTACTCTCGTTTCCATGGCCCCCGTTGCCACACACTGGCTGGACTGCGACTGGAAGTGGCGAGAATGACTTGCCAGAGTCATTAACCATAACCTCCCCTGTTGCCTTCCCTACAACATCCTGAGTCTTGTCAGACTCTATAGAGTCAAGCATTCCCAGTGACACCATTTGTTCTTCGCATTCTTGGAAGGCCATTTGGAGTTCCTGGTCAGAGAACTTGGTCAGGGAAGGTGTCAGGGGTCCCAGCTGAAGTGAAGCCTGGACATCTGGGATTACTGGCAGGATGCCATCAGGCCTGAGATGAGGGCAGGGTGACACAGTTAGGACGACACAGAAAGACAGCTGCTCATTCCACGATGCCATCTAGCACTGCTATTAACACAGCACAAGTCCATGCGCAGCAAAAACAAAATCCGGTTGCCTTCGAGATGCCTGGGATGGTCATTTCTGGGAAAAACCTAAAAACCAAGCCTTTTTTTTTACCAGGCTGAAACACAACAAAATATCTTTAATTTGATCAAATTAGTTCTTACATAACCTTATTGCCTCCCAGGCTAAAGATGCAACATCAATAGTTTCAAAGTGTTCATTCATTTGCACTCAGAAATCCCCTAGTAAACCGTAAAAATGTTGCCAGTGTTTGTTGTGGATTCATGCAGACATGCTTCTGGCAGAATGGCACAATTAAATTTTAACCAATATCTTTTCTTTTTTCAAATATCAACAGAGATCAACTAATCGGTAACTAAAATACCCTAAAAGAGGAAGTACTAATTACACTCTTCTGTGTGACTGATGTTGCTGGGTGAACAGTGAACTGTTTTCTTAGAATAATGCCAGAGGAAGGACACGAAAGAAACAAGCTACTTGAAAGAAATGAGTTTTTTCTTCATGTTAAAACATGTCTACATTTAATTTAGATTGTTGCTTAATCGTAGAAGTTATAAGGAGAAAATTATATAAATGAATTAAGAAATAAATATCAATGTAACATGAAATAAATCAAAACATGAAATGTACCATTTGTCTATTTAAAGCAACACTAAGTTTTGTCTCTAGTATTAGGAAGATTTGAGATACATCAAAGGATTTTTTTAAGGTCAATATACAACACTTGGCGTGTACTGATGCTTGATGCACACTGCCTTTCTCAAAAACTACCCCATGTAACTTGAGAAGGTTAGATCCATCACTGAAATGGCTAAAAGTTATGCAGTGTTGCTTTAAAAAATCATTAAATACAGAAATTTAACTCAAAATAAATAAATGTATCATTAAAGTTCTAATTTAACAATTAATTGTACAATTATATCATAAAATACTCAAATATGTAATTGTTAAATTATGAAATATACAATTAAAATAATTGAAAATAGCTTAAAAATGATGATTAAATAATTAACTGGGTTTTTTTTTATAAGGCAAATAGACTTGAAATTACTTCCCTCTGAATTAATGTATTAATTACTTCACAAAGTAATTCCAGGCAATTTCTTCTTAGTTTGCTTTTTACACTGAGGTTTGTATTTTCGTTGGAAAATGTAGATATAACATCAAACCATGTTGAACTTGATTTATCTACAAACCAGTTAAGCAACTCCAGCCAAGTATATAAACTAGTTTGGTCTGAAATAACTTCAATAACTCATAAGATAGCTCCAGCGGTCCAGTGTGGAGGAACTTGCTACAGACTTCACACTTTAGCAATTTTAGTCTGCCCAATGAGTAAGACGACTTCTTTGTTACTATTTTATTACTTAATATTGGTTTGTTTTATGGTACATTCATTCATTTTCATGGTACACTGACAGCTATTTATCTTCTATATATATTTATTCATTCATTCATTTAATCCCCTCCGTTCAATCCTCCATATTTAAAGACTGGGTGTCATTCAAGCAGATGCTAAAAAGTCCAAGCAAAGCTTCTGTTATATCATTGTTTTATCTGTTTAATAGGAAATACATACAGCCTGCTGATAATCCTTAGTAATGCTAACTACACTAATCCCTAGGATAAGATCCTAACAATGCTTTAAAACATCAATTATGCGAGAGAACAGTCACTTAAAAGCTTTTTATCAAATAAAATCCAAGTTAAACTACTTGGATTATTTGACTAAAATGTAACAAAATATTAAAATACATGGGAATACTTCTGCAAAGTGTTATACATTACTAATTAGAATGGTTTTTAAGAGACATCATAAAAAGTCTCAAGTTGCTTATGGTGAAGTGTTTTTATTGTATTATCAAACTTTGTTCACTTCAAATATTTAAGAATCATATACAATGTCCCTCATTTTACTATGTCAGGCAGGGCTTCAATCCATCATCAAAAATGGAAGAGTATGTCTCATCTACAAAACTACAGACTAAAGCAACATGGCTGTCTAACTAATTAATTAGATTTTAATAGTTAAATCTGATCTACCATATACTTTTGTTTAGTGCATAAACAAATGATAAAATTGTCAAATAAAAAACTGGAGATTGTCCTAAATTAGCTTTTAATATCTCAAATATAACTTTATATAAAGTATCGTAATTATCAATCCGTTTTCCTATTTTAGAGTGGATAAAGTCCTGATTTTAATTCTGTAAATTACCTTCACCTTTTATGGAAATTCTATAATTAACGTCTTACAGTGTATTATTAAAGAAAAAAGCTATAGGAGGTCCTGTTTTAAGTTTTGCACATAAAGCAGGGGACAAACAAAAATGGAAGAAAATGATTTAGTCAGAAAAGATAAAAAGCTTTTTCTTTTTGCCAACCTAACACTGGAGGTAAACCGCTTAAATACCCTAAAGAACTTGCCCTAAATGTACCACATAATTCAAGTCATGGTGTAATTGAAATAAGTAAATCCAATCAATATTGCCTTAATCATCTAACTTTGAATGAGTGATCTTCTTGTTAAAGCTCTCAAGAGAACTCAGCAACAGTTTTATTTTTGAAGTGACTTCAAAGATTACATCTTAAAGGTAAGGGTCTTTTGTGTCAGGCAGATGTCCTACCCAAGTCACTGGATCACTTTTAATTAGAAGAACAAGAATTACAAGGCTGTGTCTCAATTATTTGCCTATTTTCTTTTCTTTTTTTGTGCTTGGGTTTCATCTTTCTGAAATGTCTGGTACATTTAAATATGTACATATTCCTTTACTTTTTTAACATGATACTAAAAACAACTGATCTGATATTCATTTCTATACATAAAAACATTGGGAACCATAAAAACGGCTCTTAAAACAAGTTGCCTTATGCATATCCACAGAAGCCAAGGCATTTCTTTGCCTTTAATTTGCACTAAGTTTAAGATGGAGTCCTATAAATGCAAAAATCCCTGTCTGCATCAAAACAAGATAATTATTATTCCTTTCATCTGATTGCAATCCTTGTATCCTTGCAAACACATCCTCTCCTTCAGTATGCTGCTCACTAACAAACCTGTCATTCAAGCCTGCATCTAATTCTCTTGGCACTTTGTACTAAAGGGTGGAGCAGTAAATAAACTCTAGCGTTTCCAGCAGACAGGAGCGAAAATGATTTCTGCCACGCCTGGAAAAAGAGCAAAGCAAATGTCTTCATCTTTCACACTAATAAGTCTCCAGTGAGTAAGAAAAAAAAAAACTGGATTATATTCTTTACCGTTTTAATTGTTTATTTATCCACTACAGCATTACAGGATTTGTAGTGCAGCTTGAGACTGTCAGTTAATATCAAAGCCATAACATAGTCAAAAATTAATGGCAGATGAGTCACCTTATCATGAAGAAATTAATCATTACACACAGAAATCAGGCAGCACCATAGCAATAACATCATGGCGATCAGGCACGAGTTAGAAATATTAAATCAAATCCAAGCGCATGATTTTTAACTCCATGATCTCATTTACAGCTGACCAAAGTCATGTGGTACCTTCCATCTAAAACCAGCAGTGATCCACCGACATCCATGTTATGCTGCAGGCCCACCAGCAGGGGGTTCACCTGTTCACATTTTCTCCCTTCAGAGCTAGAATGAGCTCTGCTGACAAATAACATGGAGACACACACAGATAGTTATGGAGCTAACTTTAATGTCAACTGAATAACGACGCTTTACCGTATTACTAACAATGCATCCATGTCAACAAAGTAATGCATTTAATATCCAGCAATAAAATGTTGGTAAATATTTGGCGCCAGTAATTAAATATTTCAATCACAATTCACTGAACATGCTTCTTTTTAGATAGACATTTCTCAAGCAGTAAAAGTATTAACAGTATTTTGTTTCTCTGTACATTTGTCAGTTCACCAACTGTTTGGTAAAAGTGTAAACATAAAGGGTGCAACAAAACATGCAGCTAATGAGACCAAAATGACAAGTTAGTGTAACTAAAAAAGATAGACCCTTTCTTCTGAGTAATTGTTTCTATAATATCAGAATGAAATCGAATCAGGTTTTACTGATATATGTATTGCTATTTTCATGTTTGTCTCTATCTGTGGACCTTTTCTTATTTAAAAAAACAAACTGATGTAATTTATTTTGTGTTTTCACAGATTTAAACAGATTTGAAGCTCAGTCTCTAAACAAGGCAGATATTAGAATAGTTAATAGAATGATCTAATGTGGAGCATTTCCAGCCTTAACAGGCTTTAAAAGGTCTCATTTCCAAGTCTTGCTCACGACGTCTTCATATTTGTATGCATTTCACAGTCAATCAGGTCAAAGGCCAGTTTTCTGATTAATTCTGTCCTTAATGATCAATAACTGTCCAGATACCAAAATGAAAGCACTTGGAAAATTAAACAGTATCTGCATAAAGCACGTTTTTACCAAGTACTGACAGCCGACCCTAACAGCTATATTTATTAGTATATTTATGTATAAATATTTATATATATTAAGGACTATAGATAAATCTGATAGAAAAAAAACTAAAATTTTCTTGATTTAGACCTGTTTTGGAAGTTTTTGCAGCTACTTTTGGAGATATCACCTCATCAGTACTTTTATCTTGTGTAGATACTAACTACTATTACATAATATACATTATGTTAAACTAGTGGTGTCCTCTAATACTAGGAAATAAGATTTTTCCAAGTTGCTGATTCAGATATATGAAGACACTCACAGAAGTTGGAAAGTCATCTGAGTTTTCAGAGTTCAATATCCGATATCCAAGCCATGCATATAAATGCGGTGAAAGTTGCAGGTTGCAGCCATTATTCTGGCAGATTGTATCTCATTAAATTAGTGTAAAGTAAAGAACAACCTATATTTGTGAACATGTTGCCTTCTTTTTATATGTTTTTATTTCTGTATAGGCATAGTACCATAATAGCAAATCCTCCAGATCTTCTGATTTCCATCTAGAACCTGATCGTCTCAGATGTGCTGCAGTTTATCAGGTCAGAATTCACTAACAGACAAGCTATGGGATTTGTCAATTTAGTTTTTTCATAATAAAAGTCTTATATTCAGTCCTTTCTTTATTTTACTTTAAACAAGTGCAGCTGGAATAAATACAAAAAGAAAACTATGATTTTATGTGGTTCGGGAAAAAATATGCAAATCAACCTGTCTCTATAAAAACACACTCATTCCCCATTGAATAACAAAAAAGCCCTTTCTTAACAGCATACTGGCCTGAAAAAGATTACAAGCTAATCCAGATCTTTCTACTGGAGCTGTCTGACAACATGAAGTAGGGGAAAGATGTATATCTATAGAAATTTAAAATGGGGAATAAAGTCACCAACAATAATCACTATGGTGTACTACGGTTACAAAGCCATGTTTGGGTGCTGAGACGTCAGCCAACAATGGCCTGAGCAATTATGTGCGAATAAAGGAAAACACACAACACAATTTAACCTTCAACATTTTCAAAATTGCACCAAGAGTAAATAAACAATACATCCATGAGATCACAAAGGAACTTTGAACAAGGTTTAAAGCCCTGCAAAGCCTTGTTTCACAGAATAAAAGTTGTTGAAGGTGTTGAAAATTCAGAGTTAGCCTATTTAACTCTAGGTGGAGTATTTACAACTATACCGAGTGTAAATCAGCTCATGTGTTGGAGTTAATAATCTGTGTAAAATGTGACAGACATCCGCTGTAACTTTTACTCTACATGACATCAATCGCCCGTCATTCTCTGAGAGGTCTTTTTTATTTTTTAACAATATATGTGTAAAATTAACTCTAAAAAAATTTGACACTGGCTATAGAATAAATTTTACACTAATTTGGAGTGGGACCGAATGTTATCTGAAACAGAGTAATATTCAGCCTTATAGGTGTTAAAGTAATGCTTGTTTTTTAACTGTGTGGGTGCCACCAGCAGTAATGCATGAGGTCATTTCATTTTATCAGAAGAATAAGTTTGTTTAATTATTTCTCCCCTGAAAATCCGAACAGACACAAAAACAAAATAACTAACTTAATTAAAAAAAATGAGTCTAGATTTTTCTTCCCAGTGAAACCTGATCTCATTGATATGGGATATATTTTTTGCCCATAAAGAAATAAGTGTGTCAAAGTAGGTTTAATTGGACATTTTTGTTAGTTTAAGAACTATAATAACTGTAATTTCCTCTTAGGTGAAAATAACAGCTGTAACCTAGAGGACATTTCTACATACCCCAGTGAGGACTCCCAGATGTTCAGTTCACTGCTGAAATCCAAACTGGGGAGCAGATCATGAGGAAACTCCAGCTCCTCCTTGTCCTCCTCGCTTACAGCTCCTCTGTCTTCCTCCACTCCAGTGATGACTGGGACCTCTGGGAGGACTGATTGAGACAGAAGGCTGGGTCGGCAGGTGGAGGCTTCGGTCAGCAGTGCCTGGTTCTCCCTCCCGCTAAGACTCTCTGCATCAGTCTGTCGGACAGTGAAGAGATCGTGTTAGCAAGCTCAGTATGTAGTCGAACAAGCGTGAGCATGTTGGAGGAAAACCACAAAAACAACTAGAGATTAATTCTCAGGAGCAACAAATGGAAAAGCTCCGCCCATGTGTTTAACCATTACATAAACAGCTGGTGCAGCAGAGAGTCTGGAGTCTGTCCTATCACCTAACACCTGTTTGGCCTGCTTTTCTGATACAGTTACAGACATATATTGGCCCAGCGTCAACTGTTTATACCTTGTGTACTGCAATCAGCCTTTTTGATAACAGCCTAGAAGAACATTAACTCCTCTGAACATGTTTGATGCTTATCTGCCGTGTTCAGTCCTGACTAGGAGCATTAAATATCTTATTTGCATACAGATTCAAAAACAAAGTTCCAGCTTTAGAAGGAAGGCAGCTGGTAATACACGGTTCAGACAGACAGACCAACGTAGAGACGAACAGATTTAGATCAATCGCAACTCCAAAAGCTTCATGCAGCTTCAAAGTCTAAATTCTGGGCTAACTGCCTTAGACTTTACCTCTGAGGCTTTGTTCATGCTATTCCCTGCTCTTGCGCCTTACGAGCAATAAACTTATTAAACAAGTTGTGTGATTACAAGATTTAACAGATGTTCACTTTAAACACATCGAAGGAAGTTTATGCTATATTTTCTTTTGTTAGGGCTCGGAAAATGATTTACCAAGTGAACAAGTACAGACATGAAATCCATTTCCAGATGGTGCGCAGCATAATAAGCATTTGGTATAATCATTACAAAGAAGTTAATAGAGACAGCATTATGTCATTTTGGTTTTATAAGCTTAAAACTCCACCCTTGAAACATCTAAAAGCATAAATCTGTAATTTTATCATGAGTCCCATTGGTAGGACTGGGAAACAGTCCCGCCCACAGACATGCACACACAACAACACTTGGCAGTGGCATCGTGTTGCAGCAACGTCGCCCTCATAGCAGGCAAACGGTCAACTGTCAAGTCATAATTCAGTGGAATTTCTCCCTCATGGCGCTGCTCAGTTAATGGAGCACGGAAAACTCTATTCATACAATATTAGGGTATGACATGTTTCTGCTGCATCAGTTTAGTCCTTACCTGCAATCCTGTTTAAACACTTTGAACTTTTCTAAATTTAGTCACACTAAAACCTGAACTAAAAGGTATCTTAGTGATGTTTTATGTGATTAACCATAAAAAATAATGCAAAACTATGTTAGGGAAGGGTAAAAGTACCAGATTTTTATTTTAGCTTCTACAAACATTAAATTAATCATTTAACAAACAAGTTCTTAATTAGAGCTAAATTTAGGCTTTGTCTAGGCCATTATAAAATAAAGGCTGTGCTCTAACAAATCAGTTGTAGTCCTGGCTGTTTGTTTACAGTTGTCAATGACTATGAATCTTGCACAATAAACATTCCTATCAACTCAAACCACTTTCCTGGCATAGACTAAAGCAAAGCAAAGAAAAAAAAAACACAGAATGATAAACCCACAACAAATGTCCCCACAGTAAGGTGTTTTAAGACCAAACTAATGAAGCCCATTTGCCGTTTACAGTAGCTGACTTTTAAAGGGCAGTTAATACAAACACATTGCTGCACGTTGCAGATGATCATTTATTTGTTAAAACAGTTACAATCACTTATCACCTTTCCTACGCGTCATAGATGTGCACCTTTTGGTGTTGGGGGAGAAAAGTCCCCAATGAATGCATTGAGGTTTGTGGTTGAAACATGAAAACTTCTGAAAAACCTCAACAGGTACAGCTGCAGAAAACAAGCCTCCTTTTGAAACATGCAGGAAAGTATGTGACAACCAGCCTCCTGTACATTACAGTGGTTTACTAATTGAAAGAACATGCTGGAATCAGAATAACAAATAAGGTGTAAAAGTCAGAAGCCTGAGCTTTGCCAGCGCAACAGAGAGCTTATTATGTTTGACACATACAGTACAGAGTAAAAGTACCATGTAAAACCTTTTACCTGGATGCAAAAAGCTTATTTAAAACCTTTTAAGACTCCTATATACTTTTGTTTTTACATATTTTCGAAACAAAAGCAAGGATGCCTTGCAGCAATAATGCAAGAGCATAAAATATAAACCAAAAATGCCAAAACAAAACAAAAGGAAATGGATCTAAAAGACCTGCTGCAGGGATGTCACTGTAAACGGCTGTGATCTCACTGCTGGTTCTATTTTCTGTATCATGGTTGCATAATCAGATTAATAAAATACATTTTTCTTTACTTGCACACAGTAATCACAGGCCTGTGTGAAAAGGACATTCAAGATGTTTACAGTCAACAATCATTCACAATGATACTGGACCTTTAAAGGTCAACATATGGGTCAGTTAAGTGGAAAACCAAAGTCCTTTATATCAATTGGCTTCACGCCAGAAAGATGGGCTGCTGCTATTAATTACCCTGCAGGAACAAACTAGAAAGCAGGCTGAGGTTGCCTGGAAACCTTTGCACAGCAGCACATCATCTTAATCCATCGTATCATGTGCTTGTAAAAACTTGAATGGTTCACACATGACTCCAGTTAGGAAGAAAAGTGGAGTTTCCTCCCACTGTGCATGTGAGTGCCGCACTTACCCAGCAGTGCGCCTCTCCGTGCTGAAGGTGACTCTACAGTGCTCCTGCTCAGAGCTCTTTTGATGAGGGGCAGACAGTGAGACTGGAACATGCTACAACACATGCTGCTGACGCTCCCTCTTCTCTTCTGCACTGACTCAGCTAAGTTCCTCCTCCTCCTCAGCTGCTGCCGCTCCCCTCCCGGTTAAATTTCCATAAGCCTCCACTGAGTCTTGGAGGGTGTGTAAAAGAGTAGATAGAGTACACTGGCCCACACTGACAAACACACAGCTCCTCTGCTGAGACAGTAACAGAGGAGTGCTGAGTGTTCACCTCCCCCTTGCCACTGTACACTCTCTGCTCTCTCTCTCTCACTTTCTGTCCCCTCCTCCAACTACAACCCCTTGTCTTTTCTCCCATCTTTCCAGTATGGTAGTAAACCTGCCCAGGGCTTCCTTCTTTCATTTTTTTTCTTCCTACTGTTTCTCTTATCTACGGAAGACGATTCGGGCCACTGAAAAAAATTAAAAATTAAATACATAAAAATTATTCTGACTTTTTTCCTCAGAATTCTGACTTTTTTTTCTCAGAAATTCTGAGTTTAATCTCAAAATTCTGACTTTTTTTCAGAATCCTGACTTTTATCTCAGAATTCGGATTTTTTTTTTAGAATTCTGACTTTTTTCTCAGAATTCTGACTTTAATCTCAAAATTTGGACTTTAATCTCAGAATTCTGACTTTTTTTTTAGAATTCTGACTTTTTTCTCAGAATTCTGACTTTAATCTCAAAATTTGGACTTTAATCTCAGAATTCTGACTTTTTTTTTAGAATTCTGACTTTTTTCTCAGAATTCTGATTTTAATCTCAAAATTCTGACTTTTTTTTAGAATCCTGACTTTTATCTCAGAATTCGGACTTTTTTTTAGAATTCTGACTTTTTTCTCAAAATTCTGACTTTAATCTCAGAGTTCTGACTTTTTTTTTTTAGAATTCTGTCGTTTTTCTCAGAATTCTGACTTTTTTTCTCAGAATTCTGACTTTAATCTCAGAACTCTGTCGTTTTTCTCAGAATTCTGACTTTTTTTTCTCAGAATTTTGACTTTAATCTCAGAATTCTGACTTTTTTTTTTAGAATTCTGTCGTTTTTCTCAGAATTCTGACTTTTTTTCTCAGAATTCTGACTTTAATCTCAGAACTCTGTCGTTTTTCTCAGAATTCGGACTTTTTTTTCTCAGAATTTTGACTTTTATCTCAGAATTCGGACTTTTTTTTAGAATTCTGACTTTTTTCTCAAAATTCTGACTTTAATCTCAGAGTTCTGACTTTTTTTTTTTAGAATTCTGTCGTTTTTCTCAGAATTCTGACTTTTTTTCTCAGAATTCTGACTTTAATCTCAGAACTCTGTCGTTTTTCTCAGAATTCTGACTTTTTTTCTCAGAATTTTGACTTTAATCTCAGAATTCTGACTTTTTTTTCACAGAAGTCTGATTTTAATCTCAAAATTCTGACTTTTTTCCCCACATTAAACTGAAATGTAAAAATCAAAACTTTTTTAATTTTTTCAGTGGCCCTAATCCTCTTCCATACTTATCCCTTTGCAGGTGAATTCTGGGAAATAAGGCCAAAGGTTGGGCATGCACTAAAAGCCTGCTTAAAGGAGAAAATAATCTACTCCAGAGCAATGGTTCTCAAACTGTTGCTAAAGTAAAAATATAATAAAAAGATGAGAGGCTAGAAGGCCATTCATTTTTTTGTATTTTTGGTCATAAAAAACTGATTAACTGTGTTAAGGAGTGTTGTACTTTATTAGTGTAAAGTTGTTGTAAATCTAGAGTTCGAAAAGATTATTCAAATAATAATACAACTTTGACATAAAAATGTGACCTAGTCCTAGTTTTATAAGTATAAACAAAAACTAACTAATACACTGGCTCACTAACAGGCCAACTACCTGTACTATAAGCAACTAACACTAAAACAGGTTATATGATACAGAGTTAAATATATACAGAGATAAAAAAAAAAAAACATTTCAGAGATGCAATAAAGGTTTTGTAGCAGAGCAAAAAGAAATATTCCTAGCCTTGATGGATGACCAGCTAGTCAGGATCTCAAAAATCTGATTAAGTTTTTTTTTTCTACTTTGTCAACTTACCATAAAAAGTACTTATACCAATCTTCTTTTTAAAGTTTATGTAGAAAGAAAAGCTAAGGATAGCCACATCAGCATCGATCAGATATTTAAAAATGAAGTCATAGGAAACAAGTAGACATTAAAGGTTTTTAAAAGAAGGTTTTGTTTTCTAAATGTTTGAGAGCTGTCTGTGGTTCCTCCAAGCATCCCAAAAAGAGAGAGCAAGCTTTTTGGCAAAAAAAAAAACAAAACAAAAAAACAGAAAGGCTGAATGGTGATGGCACTTCAGCAACAGATGACCAGTCTTGTATTTATCCAGTTGGAACTTGGACATTAAAACTTCTAAGTAGAAATGGAAACAGACTTTAACTACATCCTTCAAGCAAACACAGTGTCCATAAATTGGAATTTTATTCTCATTTATTATGGGGCACATAAATCTGAACAAGTACTACTCTTAAAGTCTGTGTAATTATATTGGAAGACATCAATCTATAAAGGATCTACACCTTTTAATGAGGTATGCAACCAAATGCTTTCACTGTTTGAATTTAGGATACAATAAAATCCCAAAAAGTAATTAAACAATTGCAGTACATTTAAATCCAATCCTTTAAGAATTATTTCACAAATGAGAAACTGTTTATATCTCAGAAAAAGTCCAAAAATTTGCTTCCTCTCTACCAAACAAGCACTGCAAACCACTGCAGCATAGCAAGCACAGTGTTCAGAGCAAAAAAACACTCCAAACGCTCTACCTTTACACGCACATGTTAACACATGCTTTCACACTGTCACACATTTACAGTTTTTTGTACCTGCAGGGTTTCAGGTTGGTTCTGCTGCTTAGGTGGAAAAAGAATCACATTTTCTGGAGCGCCCTCTTCTGGCTGTAATAGGGAATACCAGCGTTTGTTTTATAAACAGCTTTTCAATTATGGTACACTTACCACTAATGTGGCTTAAACTATCTTTGGTGGTATAAAAAAGACATAAACTGGATAAAGAGAATAAATAGCCACAAAAGGAGAGTTGTATAGCCAACATTTGCCACCATTAGGCAAACTCCCTGTGCAATCTGAAGCCAGCTATGCAGTGCAGGGGACTCTCAATACTTGGGGTTACAGTTTGGATCTGATAAATGATACCAATCTTGTGCAATGAGCTCAGTTGTACATTTTCAAATCATGCAAAGAGGTTCACTCAGCTACAAGAGTAACCACTATAGCACACCTGCAGGTAACAGTGAACTTCTAGAAAGTTGTGATTATAAACATTAGCTACATGGTAGCCAATGTATTGTAAAATGTGTTTGAAATGTAATCAATAAAAGACAGATGAACAGAAAAATTCAACTGTTAAAAAAAAGAAAATCTTGTTACTGCAGAAATCTTTTTATTCTTTTTTTAATCGCCAAGACAGCTATACTGGAAAAGGCCAGAGATTTAAAGGAAACCAGAGTAGGGACTCTGGAAATCTTAACAGAGGTTTTTTTTCAAACCTTGGAAGTTTGAAAAAAAAAATTGGAGTAAAAATGGAAACCATAATTTTATTGCCCACTTCATGGTAATTGTATTTGAATGAATGTAGAATCTCTGAAATCATTTATATATTTAAAACCTAAAGAATAAATAAAAGAAAATAAATTTACAGGCCTACCTGATCACAGTTATAGAAATCCTAGTTTTTGATCCAAACCTTTTTAAATATGTATTCCAATAAAGGAGCATGTAAAAAACTTTCATTTATTTTTGGTTGGTTTTTTTTTTTCACTTAAACTGGTTAAGTATGTGGAAATTTGACATGTATTTTCTTTTAAATATCAAAAAAACAGGCCTGAAAATCAAAGTACATATTGTTGGTTGATGCAGTTTTTGTGATTAATTATTGAAGTACAAAAAATTTACCAGATTTTTTACCATTTTCTTCCCAATCATCAATCAGAATCAATCAAGGTTAAATCCGATGGTTCCTATCTCCTGCCCGTCACAGTTATGGATAGAAACAGGGTAGAACAACAGCCATTGAAAAGAAATAAATACTGTATGAACTTTTACATCAGAATTGTGTTAAACTTGATGGTTATATCAATTGCTTTATCTCTGATTCCCATTTTAACACTTGTTTTACACACATTGCAGGAAGCTTATTCTCAGGAAAACAGGATCAGAGTTTAACCCCAATCTTAACTGGGTTCTGGACCTTGATTATAAGCTGTTCATGAGACAAATGGTTATTTTAATCCTATTAGATTAATCCAAAATTCCATGCCTGAAGTCTTCCAGTCACATGGGACAATTATTGTTTTGCTGCAAAGGGTTCTATAGGTACAAAACTGCAGCAAGAGAAATGTTTCTAGAACTGTATCTTAGCTATCCAGTCAAAATAACAGATTTTACATGCAACTAAACAGCCAAGTTTTTATGAGAACAAAAAAAAAGTAATGGTCATTATGATACATTTTCTTAGCATAATTCATCCAAGTTTAAATTCTTCAGATTACTCAGAGATAAAGCATGATTTTAATGTTAATGCTGGATAGAAAAGCCTCTGTCACAGACATCTAACAGTTAGTCATCACAAAACTACGTTAGCTTTGGTAGACCTCGGTGCTCAGAATAGAATGGTTATGTGAAGCAGCACAGTGGGGGAGCAAGAAGCGATCTCTCCCTTACCAATGCCTCAGTTGTGCTGTTCTCGTTTCCCATGGCTGAGCCAGGTGCAGGGCCACAACTACCCAGACCAACGGCCTCTCACATCAGCTGGCTGAAAGACACTATGAACAGAGAGACTGTCAGCATACGGCCGCTCTGGTGCTGAAGAGAGACAGAATAAAAAACAACCTGCTTGCCCCTCAATAGTAAGAGATTTATGCTCTTGCAGGATTAGGGTGGTACCCTTTGAGCTTGAACGGCCACATGGTGAGAAGGAATGGAGAATATGTTTGCTGTTAAAGGGATTAACATACTGATGGCAAAACCTACCTGCAGGGCAAAAGGGCAACTTTATATTGGCTGGTGTGATTTAAAAGGTCGGAAAACAACAGCATCATGTTTTATAGAAATACTGGGAATATTCCTAGTGTAGTAAGGATGAAAAAGGGGTGGCTGTGACTCCTCAAATCAGAGCATCTTAAGCCGTCAACAAGACCCTGGGATAAATCCACTTATGGAAAAAAATAGGGCTGGTTGGTTTCCTTGCATTCTGTAGGGCTAAATTCAGAGCTCAGGGAAGACAGGAGCCTTGTTGTAAGTCTTCTAAAACTAAGTGCTTGTGTTTGGGTTGCTGTTCTGTTAAAATACCCAGTTATGTCCATGTCAACCATTCGACCAAAAATATCCCCCTCACCTGTGAGAAAGCTGGTTTTAATATTCCACAACAGCTTAAATTTTTTTTTTCTTCAACCCATTTATAATCTTGAAGTTACTGAAGGACCAGATATTTTCCACAGTTAAGGCAGTTTTAGATCGCCATGGAATGATAGAGTAGCCAACCAAGGAACAACCTCTTGATCCAAAATCTACACCTTCAACCAAGACTGCATATATGCAGCCACCCCCATGGACAAATCAAATTAAAAAAAATTACATCATTGATGAAATTACTGGAGGAGAGTAATAAAGGCCTTTAAAATCTAAGAACATATAAAGAAACAGCAGTCATGCATGGTGGAGGCAGCATTATGCCAAGGGCCAGATTTGCTGCCAGTGGTTGTAAAGCATTGTACAAGGTGTATAGGGTATTCATGAGGGAGGTCTATCTCCAAGTTCTTAAAATGCCATCCAATCAACAATTTAGGTGTTTGAGAGACCCAGTTGATTTTTTTTTTTAAAGCTGGTTAAAGAGCTGAGAAGGACATTAAAGCGTTTTTGTAAAGGAGTCTATTGTGAAGCTTCTGGGAAAACGTTGACCTTCATAAAAAAATTACGATTAATACCTTAAATGTGAGTCTGTACCAGAAACTTAAGCAAATACAATCAGTTTCTAGAAAAAGAGAGGGTCATTATCTACATAAATATATACCATAAGACTGCTGCAAAAACATGTGACTTCTCTGTACCTACCTAAGGCATTTAATCATAAAAACATTACTTAATGTGTATAATTTTGATTCTGCATGGGTCAGAGAAAATTTACAAAAATGTTTTTCCAATCGGTATTGAAGATTTGGTTGTAACATAATTTTACCCTAGAAGGCTGAACCAAAAACCCACTTTTCAAACTTCATTTGACTTAAAACTACTTTTTGATAAAGCTTACAGTTAGAGAGGCTCAGGTTATCCTAAGCTATCTCTATAGTTATGCTGCTATAGGCTTAGACTTCTGGAGGACATAGGGACCCCTTTTTCATCATTCTGCTTCATTCTATCTCTATTCTTCCACTCTGTAGAATATGTTAATTAAATCTCTATCGTTGTGCTCTCCCTGCTTTTTATCATAGTAGCTCCGCCTCGTCTGTTTCTGTTTGGCTGTGACTCCATCCTGGAGAGAAATATCAGCTGTGCTGCTGCCATCAACACCTTTGTTTATAGATGTTCGAGATCTGCCTGTTTTTTAGTGCAGTCCTGTTTCTCTGACTGCGACTGGCTGTGTGTTTCCTGGATGTGGCCGCCTTTTACAATTGCCTTTTGCATCTCTGCTTCTGTCTCATTGAACCTCAGTCAGTTTTTCCTCCCCACTGTCCCTACAAGTATGCTTAGTGTGAGGGATTGCCTCCGAGTTAATGTGTCAATGAAATCAACTGGTTTTCCTTGACTAGAAAACTCAGGATGTAGCCCACTTCTCGCCCGTAGACAACTGGAGATAGGCACCAGCACCCCTTGCGACCCCGCTTGGAATAAGCGTGAAGGAAAATGGATGGATGATCTGGTGAACTGTGAAAGTGCCTTGAGATGACATGTTGTGAAGTGGTGCTATATAAATAAACTGAATTGAAATTGAATTGACTCTTATTCTGCACCTGTGCCTGTGAGGTGAATTAATGACTGTTGCACAATGACACAGTGACTGAACCTGCACAACTTAATCCTTACATGGTAAATAACAGATTGGCTCTCAGCAGTGTTGCTGGTCTTATCTGGACAAAGAAGCAACCCTAACCCAGATCAGCAGTTTAATGCAATTATCTACAACTCAGTTCTTTGTAGGTTAGGCTTTGTAACCAGACACTGACTAATTACAAATAAGAATTTTTTTTTTTTTTACTTTTTTATAGGACATAATTTAAGACAATAAGACACAAAAAGATACTGCGGTACAAGAGGATGTTTAGAGGATCACATATAGACCTAACTTATGCTCTGAAGTTTCCTTTTGATTTGCATTCCTTGTATGACTGCAGGGACAGAATGCCAGCTCAGTGTTAGGCCAGGAAGCAATGACCTGAATATGCAAGACTTTATAAATAGAGTTGCCTCATATTTACTGCTTTATTCCAGCCTAATGCATGATTTGTCATGCGTGCTTCCCAGCTGCATCCCTGACCTTTCTGCGAATCACTTTTTATCCAACATTTTAACATTTATTCTCTATGAGAATAATAACACTGTCTCCTTACATCCTTATTTTCACTCCTTCAGCCGTGGGGCAGCTCATCTGCCCTGCCTGCTATTTGCGTGAATGGGGTGTAATTTCAGCCCCCTTCTTTACACCAACCTGTGTTCACTTTAGCCGGCAGCGGCTTTTCAAGGCGTTTTGGCAGCACTGATGGGAAATCATATGATTTAACCTCTGCCAGGTCACTTCTCACCTCATTACAGCCTGACCATCACGTAACATCAGCCTTGGGTGGCTCAGATGGAGGAGCATGTATGTGAGTTTACCATTTCCTATCCTGCTTCTTATCTTTTCTAACAAAAAATTCCTGTTTCTCCTCCTTAATTTCTAGAAAGAGATCATTTGATGTTTTTTTCTTCAGTTTGTTCAACAGCACATATTATTCAGTGAAAACGGGTAAACATAGCAGAATGAAACAATGCTCAATGTTTCAAAAATAGCTCTATTAGATGCTTTACAATCTATAAATATATCAAATGTAAAAATAAAAGGGATCCAACAAATTACTCACCATCTATCACAATTTCTCACAATTTTCATCTAATAAAATGCTAAAGGAGACACTTCACCAAAAAAAACTCACAGATGAAACTTACCGCCTATAAAAAAAAAATCAGCACTGCAACAATGAGACAGGTTCCAGCCTTCAGGTTTGTTTACTGTCAAACTAATGCATCTGTGCTGCCGCCTGAGGAACCCCGGTTCCTCTGTTGCTATTTTAGCCCTGGACACAAGGCAGCGGGGGGACATGCGTGGGGAGGGGAGGGAGGGGAACTAACTGGAGCTGGAGTAGCCATGTCTGCTGAGCAGGGAGGTGGTAGGTTGATGAACTGTAAACAAACCGGGCCACTAACAGCAGGATGGGGGTTTAATGCTTTAGAGTAATTTATACCCCTTGAACTTTTCACTTTCTCGGCAAAAGTGAAGTAAAAAAAAATAAAAACACAATGGAGGTCTTGTTTCTCTATTTCTATTTATATCAGATTAAATAAGTGTTGGATTTTTATCTGGACTTTTTCATTTTGACACATAAACATGTTTTTGACCTAAAGTGTAGCCCTGGCATCCCCTCCCAACTCCACAAATATACATAAGATCAACCTGACAGTCTAGAGTCCCTCTATCAGTATGTAAAAGCAAAATTGTTTTCCCCTAGTTTAACAAACTGGCGATCTGTTCACTTTCACACTATGGGTGGATCTTGGTTTTTCCTAAAAATCCCAAATAAAACACATTATTTACAGATACATCATGACAAAATGTGCAAAGATTAAAGGGTTGCGACCACATCTGCTAGGCAATGAAGCAGGCTGCAGGTGTTCCACCTGTAGGATGACCCTGTACACTTATTGCCAGTGGCATTTTCAGGGTGTTGGTGCTTGCTTGTTGACTGACAGGTAAAAATACATGCACACAATTAAAAGACTGACGCTCAGAGAGCTGCTCCATTAAACAGAAGCAACATCTTCACACTGAGATGGATGAAAGTGGATGTGGTTCCTCTTCTATCTGCCATTTGTAAAGGCCACTTTAAACAAGCACAGCAGTCTACAAATCATTCCTATAAATAGCCTGCTTCTGATCAGCTGTTTCCTACAAACCAGCCTCAATATGTGTTACTTCTGTTTCCTAGTATTAGGGCTACTTATTTAATTACGGTAAACATATAAGCCCAAAGTGTCACTCTATCTCCTATTTTCCTCTGCAAACCCAACCCTTTTGCTTATCCTCAGCTCCTGCTCTCTGCAGAACATTTCCCTGCTGCTTTGAACCCCCGGTCCATCTTAAATATACACTCCACCTCTCCCTGAATGAAAAGCTTCCATTCAACAGTGTCTTCCTCTGTTTACCTGCTTGTGTGAGATTCCAATGCAGCTCCCCATCCTGTATTCCATGTCCTCCTCTGGCGAAGTGACCCTGGCGCTACACGGCTGGCAGAGCACCTTTCTGCAGAACTGCATCTTTATCAGTCGGCTTCAGCATCACCAGAACAAGCAGATCACTGCAGAAGCTTCCCTGTGCACGCCTCCATGTCTGTCTGTGTGTGTGTGCATCACTGGCTGTGATGCCTGCGGTCCTCCTGTGACATTAATTCCCTAGTCACTGTTACATAAAATCCCATTCAATCAAGTGAACGTGATGGAAGTGGAAAAAAGGAGATGCTCCCTGCAGCCTCAGATGCAACTGAGCTTTAAATCACAGCGCAGGAGCACAGACTGAGGTTTTGCTTTGGAGGGAAAAAAAAATCTCAGTGAGGGGAGAGGAAAGGGTGGGAGGGAGGGAGCAAAAAACATTCCTGTCTCTTTAAGAGACCCAAGACAATGCAAGGATGATGCTGCTGCTAGAGCTTCAGTGTGTGGAATTACCAGGATGGTAAACTGCATTTAATCAGATGACTCAGCTAAAATGGTGCAGAAAACAAGAGCTTAAACAGAAAACCTTTTTTTTTATTGAAACCTTTTATTGAAACATGTAACAGAAGTACAGTTTACATTTTCCTCATATCAGAAAAATAAACTTTTCAATAACATTTTACTTGGCATAAAGAACATTTGTGAAATCCTAAATGGATATTTATTATTAATAAAAACATCAACAAAATATTTCAGGAAAAAAGAAGTTGGTCACATAAAACCTAAACCGTTAAGAAAGAAAAAAGCGCCGTCACTCATTCTGTGTCTCTGGAGGCTGAATTATTGCCTCTCTGATTTCGAAAACATCTATTAGCTCCTGAAAAAGAACAGAAACAAGAGAAGATAGATTATAATTCATTACACTGCAATGCCTCACAAAAGTATCCACAGCACTTGAAGTATTTTGATGTTCAGCGGCAGATCATTTTATGTGATGGAGATATACAGTGATATGGGAAGAAAACTATTCAAAGTTTACTAAATCTATTACATTTCCCGTAAACATCTGTTATTAGGCTCTGTGCACATCAATTTTCCAATAGGGTTTTAAATGGGGTTAAGATTTAGACTAGGCCATGCTCACTCGTGATAAAACCTGAGTCTAAACCACAGCATTATTCTGGTTGATAATTTCCTAAAGCTTTTTTTTGCCCCAGGATTGACAAAGAGATAAAGTCAGTATCTCCTTACTTTGCGAAGGACTCTGGACCCTCAGAAGTGAAACTTATGAGCTCTGCACCAGGGAGCTGTAACACCATGTTGAGGAAGCCACAATTTTAACGTTTTTGCTGTCGCTAAAGAATTTTGCTCCATTCATCCTCCCATGAGCTCTGAACAACTTCCCTGCCCCATCCGTAGAAAAGCACTTCCTCAGTATGATGCTGCCACCAGAGACTTTCCCAGTGAGGATGGTGGGTTCAGGCAGGCGGATTTATAGTGTTAAGTTTCTGTACAGTTACCAGTTCACTTCTTCACTCCCACCTCCTTTATTAACCTCCTGTTTAGCTGAAAATAAAATCCTGGTTCACCTCCAACTTTCTTAAATTAAATAATGACAAGACAGAAGTCCTTCTAGTGGGAAACAAATCTACATTATCCAAAGCTGACAGTTTCTTCCTTTCACTTGATAACTCCATAATCTCCCCCTAACCTCATGTCAGCAGACTGGGTGTCATCCTTGATAGTACACTGTCCTTCTCCTCTCACAATCACAACCTTACTCTATTTGTTTACATTCACTTACACAATATCATTCGCCCCTTTCTCTCCCCTGGTTCCACCTCTACTCTTGTCCATAGTCTTGTCACTTCCTGCATCAATAACTGTAACTCTTCTTCTTTTTGGTCTACCTCAAAAATCCTTAAACAAGCTTGAGGCAGTCAGAAACTCAGCAGCTTGCATCAGTTCTAGAACCTTCTCTTTCCATCACATCTCCCCAGTCCTACAGTAGCTCCACTGGCTCCCTGTCGAGTTAAGAATTCAGTTCAAAATCCTTTTACTTAATTTGAAAGTTATTCACAATCTTTCCCCTCCCCATCTCTCCGATTTACTTGAAATTTCACCTCCCTATGCTCTACTCCTCACCTCATTGTTCCTTCCCCCTGTCTTGTAAATTTAAATCCTTTGTTTTCCCACAATGGGGAAATTCACTCTCTGCCTTGGGCTGCCACTGGGGGCCCCCGGGGAGCAGTGTGGGGATAAGGGTCTTGCTCAGGGACCCAGAGTGGCATTTCGTGGGAGTGTGTGGGACTTAAACTCGACTGGACTACAGCCTCCATACATGTGTCATGCGTGCTAACCACCAAGCCGCCAAAGCGGTGTCCTTGAGTGTTTTGCAAGGCCCTTGAAATAAAATGTATTATCATTATTATTGTTGTCAATTGAACAGAAAGTCTTCTTTCACATTGTTGAATTTTTCCATATGTGTTGTTTTCGACAACAGATAGAGGGATTTTATTTATTTATTTATTTTATAGTTGTTTTTTTTTAAAGCTTAGATTTGTTGGGCTTCACAGTTAATGTTGTTTGATCATTTCTTCCAGCTGAGTTGTGGATTTTGGCAGCTCCTCCAGGGTTACCGTGGACCTGCTGGCTGCGATCCTGATTGTTGTTTTCTTTTTCAGCCAAATCCTGGTAGATCCTCAGCTGTGCCACATGCTCTTTGTTTTCAAACGATGGATTGGACGTGATACGGAAGATCTCTAATGATTGTAAACCTATTTTAAATTCCCCCCAGACCTGTCTGCTGCATTCCTTGGTCTTTATGGTGCCAATTGTTCCCTATGATCCTCTAACAAACCTCTGAGGCTGTTACAGAAACTGCAGGATTTATAATGAAAACAAATCAAACACAAGCAGATGCTATTCACAGGTTATGTAACTTCTTGAGGTGATTGGCTACAGTAGGGTTTATTTTCAATATGAAGACGAAAAAGATAAAAACAAATGCTGGTTATTTGTACAAATAAATAATAAGAAGAATAGTGAAACTTCTCAACAAGTAGACTTGCTTGTTGTTTAGCTATCACATCCTAAAAAAATAAATCACACTTTGTTGCTTTAAAGAGGCAAAAGTAGTTAAAAGGCTGTGAATACTTTTGACATAGATCAAACATTTTCTAGGACAAAAGTAGAATTCAGCAAAGAAGTTTAAAGCGGCTCACCCTCCATATATTTGGGCTGATAGGAACAATGCACTGTCTGCGGTTGGATGTAGCTCCAGCTTCCTCTTCTACTGGCTCTGAGAAATTATAAACAAACAAACAAAAATTTATTAGATATAATTTTTTAAAAGATTCTACAACCAGAAGAAGTCCTTACAGGTACCCACCTATACAAGGTAACTTGTCATCATCCAGATACAGCCGTGCCAAACCATCCTGTAACAAACAAGACAATGTTATATCCATTTGGCGCCACTAAATAGAAAAAAAAAAAAGGAATTTACTTACCCTGATGAGAAAAGATGTGTGGAAAATGTTTTCTACCGTCCGGGAAAATGAGTTGGGGTCAATGACAAATTCATAGTATGACATCGGTGAAGCTGTAATGCGAATAGAAAAACGGTAATTACTAAAATAATTTAATGCACTAAAATGTTTGAGGTGACTAATTAAATACAAGAGTAAACAGCCTCAGAACTGATATCGGATTAATCAGACTAGAGGCAGAGCTGCAGGCAGAGCTGCTCCAATACATGTAAAAAAATAAATAAACGCTGAAGACAGACAAGTCTCTAATCGATTTTATTAATTCCATTTCTGCAAACATCTGCTTCAAATCTCACAGCCCGGAGTCTACAAAGCCAATTGTTTCATTATAGAGTAATGCTGATCATTTGATTTTCAGACATAAGAATTAATTTATACATATAACATATCTATTCACCATTATCTAAACATGTTTGCATGTGCATAGTTTTACATTTTTTACTGGATTGTCTGAAATTAAAGTTAGTTGTTGATCATATTTATTGGCCAAATAGGCTAGATTACTGCAGGTTAAGCAAAGACTGGAAAATGATGAAATGTCCACCATGTAGGACTCTAGATGTCTTAAAGATGTTTAGGATAACTGAGTGTTTTTGCTGCCTAATTATTTAGTGATTGTTCACAAAAATTCTACCCCTGATTTAGAAAACTGTTCATACAGCCGGATTTAGAGCGACAACATCCTGAAATATCAGAAACTCACAGACAGGCAAGGAGACAATGAAAGGAGAGACACAAGAAAGGAAGCAAGATAAGACAGAGGGGTGAAAGAACAAAAGGAAGGTAGGACACAAGGAAGAAAAAAAAAGTAAGGTAAAAAAGGGAAGATAAAAGGGAAGAACAGGAGGGGGGAGGCATAGAAGGAAAGATGAACATATGAAGGAGGGTCCCAGGAAAGGACACAAACGAGGAGAGAAAAACAGAAGGACGCACCTTGAAATGACTGACAACAATTAAAATATCCTTGTAGTCTTTTCCAGCCTGTTTATAAAGCCTAGAAGTGGGAAGAACTCTGTAAACTAAGATCTGTCTTGGCAGCAAAGATCATTTCCAACTTACGGTCATCCTCGAAATAGCCCTTCAGGTATCCCAGGATTCTTTCCACCTCTTTCTCTGTTGCTTCTTGATGAGACTCTTCCATTTTCTTAAGCTGAAACGCAAGATGATGACGTATGTAACCATAACTTACACAGACGAGATTGTTTTAATTCGCCAAAAAAAACTAAATGCATTTTGTGATTTTGAAAATTAATCCTTTTTATTTATTAGGTGAGTTTAATTTGTAAAATGTGTATGAATAAGGAATATGACAAAAGATATTTTGAATAGACTGATTAAATTACTTTTAAATAATATTAAAATGTCGATAGAAATAAAAGAAACTTTGGTCATGGAGAATTAATCCTCATACCAAATGATGTTTGATAAGACTGGTTCAGATGTGTTTTTACCCACAGCTGTGATGGTGCAGGTGGGGATGGAGGTACCTGAGTGGGCATGATTCTCTTGACTTCCTTGCTTGAGGCTTTCCTTTGCCGATCGCTTTTTTGCTTCGGAGGAGGCGGCTCTGCGTAAAAGGATCCCATCCTGTGGAGAAAAATTACACACGGTCAGACCCAGGATAATGTTCGGAGACAAAGTTATTCTGAGTAAATGTTTTAAAATTTTGAAAACATATTACAATTGAAGATACATTTTAGGTCAAATATAAGAGTTTAGGACTAAAATCACAGTTCTCAATTGTTTTCTGTATAGTTAGGAGCTTATTTTTTGCATTAACACTTAAATCAGCTGCGAGCCCAGACCAGAGCTTTTCTTTAGATGCTTAAAATTATGTTCTCCAGGACTCACATGTAGTGGAACGTAGGTGCAGTCTTGAAACAGCACTCTGTCCTCCTGGCCAGCCTGTGCCAGGCGTCTTTGGGGAGGAAGCCATCAACACCACCTCCATTCTGCAGCTCATCGTTCTCTTCCTCTTCCTCCAGACGGTTGAGACCCATGAAGGACAGCTGAGAGAGAGGTGCAAATGTTAGATTGCCACATTAGACTGCTTGCTTCTAATAGAGAAATTAGTATTTAAACTCCATCCATCGCATGGAGGTAACAAGTATCATGGTTTTTAAATAGATATATATAGATTTATATATCTATTTAAAAAATTGCTGTTTTTAAATAGATATCAGTAAAACAGCTGGATTGTAGAGAGATTTTTCTAACAGCTGGAAGCACAGACTAACTCAATGCCACCTTCTGTAGCTTCTAGCGTTTGTCGAACCTCCTCAGTCATTGTTGGCTGACCCTGGTGATGGTGTTCTTTGTGGTGCTTATCCTCATATATGTGAAAATGTGCTTTTACTACCATGAGAATCCCAGCTACACATGACTGCCCTGTGGTATGGTAACAAGTGATCTTTCCCTGTTTTTTGGTTTTCATCACATGGCAGAAACAACAGTTTGTGCAGCTTTATAAGCTGGAAAACAAAATATCCTCCAAATAGCAGCATCAGACAGAAAGACAACAGAAAACTCTGCAACTATAACACGTTGTTTGCTAGAGTCATTTAAGTTCACTTTTCTCTTTGTCTCTCACTGCTAGCTTGTGCCCACACTCTGTCAGCCTTAGTATGATAGTCACCAAAATAGATGTTAGCTGTGTGCATCGGGAGCATGGGAGTATGAAGGGCCAGTTATACCATAGAACAAAAACTCAAACTGCATACAGGTTTCTCTCCAATTGAGCTATGGATTGCAATTTAATTTATCAGAACAACAAAAGCACTCACCAAGTGTTCAGCAAAAGCAGTGGGATCAAACGCGCAGCCCTCAGAAAACAGCTGGCTGGCTTTCTCTTTTCCCAAGTCTGTGGCCACGACAAGAAGCTGAGCATCCAGAGCTGCTTCTCTCGCCTGTCGCACTGTTGGAGTACAATGAGATCAGTTCAAAGTAGAAATACAACCCACAATCCAACGTTAATATCTGTATCAGTCCAGATGACAAAAAAATTCTACAACAGAAATCAGTTCCAATATGTCCAATCCCTAAGGGTGGATCTATCCAGTCTATTTCTAAGCTGTGCACTGCGTCACATGTCATGTGCAGAGTGTGACATTGCTTTAAAAATGAAATGAGAAAACAGCTGAAAACTTCTTGGAATCCACTCAGTCAACAGCTCTGTGTAATAAAAGCTGCAATGTGAAAATATTTTATGTTTAAAAACACCCCGAAGCCAGATCTAATATTTAGAAAAGCTGTTGTACCAAGAGGCTGAAGTTTAGTCTCAAAGCAAAATCACAAAGTGCAATGTTTACAAAGCAGCTTTAGCAGGAGGAGGAGGACTTTAAAACGCTCATGAGAGCAGAAAAACAAAATCCACTAGGAAATACTTATGGTATTCATTGGACGATTAATGTAAACTTCCATTAGACTACATGGTGGCTAAAATGATTACTGTGGATTTTTACAGTTTATGCACCTTTTTATGGATACTTAGTACAAAAATCTATGCAAGGGTTGGAGTATGCTGAGTTTACATAAAATAAAAAATAAATTGTAACCGTAACTATCAAAATAAAAGTTATAGCTAATTTTAAAATTGTCAAAACAACCAACCATAAAAATAATGCTGGTTTTACTAAAAGTTCCTGTAAATCCTGTTTTCTTCCTGTCTAACTCTTTAAACATTCAGTCAACACGTGAATTATTTAGTTCCTAATTAAAAATATTTTCTTTTTCACATACCCTCTTTAAAAAGCTTATTTGCCTCTTCTAAGACTTCTGTGAGCTTGTTGTTGGAGGGACTCAGCATATCTTCCCTGTTTTCTGTAAATGAAAACAACAAAAGAAGATGAATGAATCTATTCATTGGAAAATAAGTAAAACGATACATCTTATAACTATTATTAGAAAGTAATAACTGACGTTGGACTGAGTTGATGAGGTCCCTGTATTTGCTTCTTATCTCTCTCCTTCGGCCCTGATCGTTGTCGTCGTCGACATTGTCCTGCAGACCTCCTGGGATCGAGTCTGGGTCCTCTCCTTCAAACGCTTGTTGCTCTGACCTCCTCCGGCTGGAGGACCCATTCTGCCGGGGTGACTCTTCATCAGCGCCCGCTCTGGCTTTTCTCATCTCTCGTCTTCTAGAGGTCATGTTCAACGAAATGAAGACAAAAGGAAATATAGAGCAAGTTTACTAAAGTCATGACTATTTAGTTACCCTCAACCAGTACGGAGATACATCTTTTACATATTGTTTGCATAAAGGAGAGCTACCGCAGGTCATTCATCCCTACTGCCACCAGACTCTACAATGCAACACTAAAACAGCAATAACTTGTGCAATGTATAAAGTGCAATTACTATTTAAAACCCTGTGCAATAAGCTATTTCTCTATATTTGATATCCAGTACAATAACTAGATATAAATATCCATCTATATAAATACCCATGTTAACACCCTGTGCAATAATCCTGCATATTAATATATATATATATATATATATATATATATACAGATATATATATATATCAAATATGCGGATGCACTGTATAAACTGTATATACACTATATTGCCAAAAGTATTTGCTCACCTGCCTTGACTCACATATGAGCTTAAGTGACATCCCGTTCCTAATCCATAGGGTTCAATATGACGTCGGTCCACCCTTTGCAGCTAGAACAGCTTCAACTCTTCTGGGAAGGCTGTCCACAAGGTTTAGGAGTGTGTTTATGGGAATTTTTGACCATTCTTCCAGAAGCGCATTTGTGAGGTTGCACACTGATGTTGGACGAGAAGGCCTGGCTCTCAGTCTCCGCTCTAATTCATCCCAAAGGTGTTCTATCGGGTTGAGGTCAGGACTCTGTGCAGGCCAGTCAAGTTCATCCACACCAGACTCTGTCATCCATGTCTTTATGGACCTTGCTTTGTGCACTGGTGCACAGTCATGTTGGAAGAGGAAGGGGCCAGCTCCAAACTGTTCCCACAAAGTTGGGAGCATGGAATTGTCCAAAATGTCTTGGGATGCTGAAGCATTCAGAGTTCCTTTCACTGGAACTAAGGGGCCAAGCCCAGCTCCTGAAAAACAACCCCACACCATAATCCCCCCTCCAACAAACTTTACACTTGGCACAATGCAGTCAGACAAGTACCGTTCTCCTGGCAACCGCCAAACCCAGACCCGTCCATCAGATTGCCAGATGGAGAAGCGCGATTCGTCACTCCAGAGAACGCGTCTCCACTGCTCTAGAGTCCAGTGGCGGCGTGCTTTACACCACCGCATCCGACGCTTTGCATTGCACTTGGTGATGTATGGCTTGGATGCAGCTGCTCGACCATGGAAACCCATTCCATGAAGCTCTCTGCGCACTGTTCTTGAGCTAATCTGAAGGCCACATGAAGTTTGGAGGTCTGTAGTGATTAACTCTGCAGAAAGTTGGCGACCTCTTCGCACTATGCGCGTCAGCATCCGCTGACCCCGCTCCGTCAGTTTACGTGGCCTACCACTTCGTGGCTGAGTTGCTGTCGTTCCCAAACACTTCCATTTTCTTATAATACAGCTGACAGTTGACTGTGGAATATTTAGGAGCGAGGAAATTTCACGACTGGATTTGTTGCACAGGTGGCATCCTATCACAGTTCCACGCTGGAATTCACTGAGCTCCTGAGAGCGACCCATTCTTTCACAAATGTTTGTAAAAACAGTCTGCATGCCTAGGTGCTTGAATTTATACACCTGTGGCCATGGAAGTGATTGGAACACCTGATTCCAATAATTTGGATGGGTGAGCAAATACTTTTGGCAATATAGTGTATATCCTATGCACCTTTTTCTTCCTTTGGAACCTTGTTCTTCTTCTTCTTTTGACTATTTGAGCTGATGTAACGAGTAAATTTCTCTTTTAGATATGTGTTGTGAAATAAACTGAATTTAATTAATGTACAAATATATCTGAAAATAGTAGTTATACAGCACTTCTTTCCAAGTCAGATGGCTTACACTACATTCAGTCATTCACTCACACACTGATGGTAGCAAGCTAAATGGTAGCCACAGCTGCCCTGAGGCTCAATGACAGAAGCAAGGCTGCAGTACACTGTCACCACCATCAGTAGGTGAAATGTCTTGCCCAAGGACACAACGACACTGAGCCAGATCCGGGATTTGAACCGACAACTCTCCAGTTCCAGAGCAACCTCCGGCATCCGGCGCCAATGTCGACCACCGACATATTAAAGACAAAAATGACAAACTACTGTACCTAGATAATTATTGAGCACACAAGGACAGTTGCAAATTAAACTTAACGGTAAAGATTGGTGTTAAATGAAAGCTAACGCTAGCTATAACGCTAACGTTAACCGTTAACGTCTAAATTTTGGTTTAATCGATAAAACCTACCTTGGTGCGTACGGGATGAAATATAAAAACAATTAAAAACAACAAAAGGAATTTAAAATAAAACTCAAAAAAGCTACTTTAAAAATTCAAAAACTTTCCTCCTACTTTCCAGCGCTCATAGACAGGAAGTTGTTTTGAAGGTTTTATAGAACTTGTCTAAATAAAAGCACGGGCTGTGTTCATATTCAGCGGTTGCATCATCCGAAGGACACGTTCTTTGTGTTTACGTCATAGCGTGGCGACGATGCCTGTTCATATTGGAAGACTCGCCATTATGCGGTAGACAAATTCAGCGAGTTAAAACTGTATCTGTTCCTGCTCGACACATTAAACGGCTCGGAGCTGTCGACCGCCCCAAGATGGCGCCACCATATCATGCCAGCGCCCATAGGCTTATATGTATATGTATATCTTTGGTGTCAACTGTCACGGTTGCTAGGCGACAGAACGTAGGGCGATGAAATCCGAAGAACAATGGAGTTGTTTGAATCCATAGCCAAAACTTTTTTGGCCTCCTTATTTTGGACCTCAAAGGACCCAGTCCTTTTTGTAGATCGCGCCGTTGGAGGACGTAGCCTCTGAAATCGAAAACACCCACTAATGGAAAGCACAGGACCGCTTCCTGTTCTTCTTCTGTTGGAATTTAACTGTAGACAAACCGACCCAAGGTGGAATTACTGCCACCCACCAGACTGAAATGTGATGTTCACACAATCCTTTCTGCAAAATCTATAAACAGCCTCAACTTTAATTTTAAATGGAAAGATAAACTTTTATCTATCAGAAATGCTGACTAAAGATTAAAAAAAAAAAATAAGAGCTTGATGGTCCTCTTAAAAAATATCATTTGTAAAACTGTTTCCTAATCTAACCAAAGGAAATAAACTTAAACATGTAAATAAAATAAAAGGTCGTTTTATATATATATATATATATATATTTTTTTTCATGCATGTCTTATGTGGGACACACCCCTTATTTATTCAAATAATACAACCTTTAAACAGCTTCTGTGGCACACGATAGCATAGAATCTTAATCAAATTACCTGGAGTTTGTGGGTAAGATTAATGAAAAAAAAAAGTTCAAGGTTCAATGCTCTTAAAAAGCACTTCAAGTTAATGTTTTACCTGCTTATATATTTCTTTTTTCTACTTGTTCTGATGAAACCATTAATCTAGAGCTATGAGAAGGTAGTCCACAGAGGTAGAAGACATTCAGTAAAGCATCTCTTCTTTTAAAGCTGTTATAAGTGCAACTTGTGCAATATATATAAAATCAATTTCTATTAAATTTTCTGATGTTGACTCTGAGGAACCGAAAAATGTGTTTTCTCCTTCAGAAAGTTAATCTATTAAGAGGTTTATTTTAAAAACTGATGCTAAAATGCTGACATGAATACCATTAAGCAATAGAAAGCGATATAGCTTAATGCTGAACTGTCATATTATCACAATGTAACACTGTTGTTTTTCTTTTATGGTTAAAACAAAGTAAGTCCAGCTAAACTCGGCTATAAAACTGCACAGATACAAAAAAAAAACAAAAAAACACTGAATTAAGCTGTCATTATTTGGAAATATCAGATACAAAATTCTGCAGAATCTGAAGATTTTTATCACCTTGTTTTATGTTTTATATACATACTTTTTAATTTAATACTTTTTTTTTCAATGACACAACACATTTTGATAGACAACATCGAAAAAGCTAAGTTTACAACTCGTTTCCCCCAAAAGATGACTTTATATTTAATGAAAACAGCCAGAAAGAACAACTTAAAGATATTTTTTAATCACCTTTACATATTAAAACTTTTCAGTCATTTGGCATTATTCACCAAAGTTATAAGATAAAATGAGAGGTTTCAAAAGTAAAATTCAGCTCCAAATCCACAAGGTGATTTGGAGAGATTGTGCAAAACATAGCAGGATATAACCTTGTAAAAATACTATAAAACCCAGAAACAATAACATGAGTAAAATGGGGTTGTAAGTAGTAGTGTCAGCCAAGATACAAAGGATTTCATCACTACTTATTTGGTATCCTCAAATAAAAAAAAAAGATTGTTATTTAGTTTTCAGAGCTCGATTTAAGGCTCTGCAATTAAAATGCTGAAGCTTATTACACAACATTCATAGGGCCATGTTAAAAAGTAAAGCTTCACATAAAAAAATCCATCAAAAATAGAAAGTATCTTTGCACTTTTCATGTCTTTTATGTGGACTCCTCAGTATTTAAGCTACAGTAAGCAAATAAATACACAAGGAACAGCTAGTCACAAGGGGAAATGTCTCATTCAGTTTGCATTCCTTTATGTTTAGCTGATGTTTTTAAACTCTAAATAAAAACAAAATGTAGTGCAAACTGCAAAAGCTAGATTCCACATTTTTGCACGACAGTATCAAATTATTCTCTTGTTCTACCTGTAAATCTACCCACTGGGTGTGATTTTACTTGTACCTCCTCATAAAAAATATGCCTCTTTTGTTTCCTTGTAATGGAAACTTAGGTGAAAGAGAAAACTCTTGTCAAAACTTGGAAAGCTCCAAAGAAGCAGAAACAATGGCAGGTTTATATAATTCCTGCAATAAGAGAGTGTTCTGTTTTTTTAAACAATGCAGTAAACTCCCATTCTCTTTCAGTCATCGTGGAGTCCAAGGGCCAACACTACAGGGAGCCCCACACCAAGGATGAGAGTGAGGCTCTCCAGGAGCCCCAGGTGTCTGGTCTGGTGGGTCACCACGTCATTGTGCTCCTGGCTGTTTGAGATGGGTTCTTCTATCCTGCTGTAGCTGACCTCAGGGAGGACGTGCACAGTGGCTACATAAAGGAAAGTCCCTGCTGAGAACAGCATCCCAACTCCTGTTGCAATAAGCTGGTCCTCAGAGGATTTTCCAGTCTGTGGAAAAATACAAACACAGATACAATTGGTTAAATCTGCAAAGCACAGTGTCACTAGATGTTGCTAATGTGTATTCTGTTACAGCGTGCAGAATGAAGTAAGTGCTGATAGCGACTACAGGCGCAGCAGCTGAGAAGGCCAGTAAATGTCCCTGAATGTACTTCTTCTCAAGGCCTGCATGCATCAGGAAGGAAACCAAACCAAAGGCAGCAGGAGCCTGAAGGCCAAAAAAACAAAACAAAAAAAAAACACAGATGTCATCCACTTATCCACTTTTTTTTTTTTTTTTTCTACATCTTTTTAAAATAACTACACAGCTTAATTAGTGATAGTTTCTCTCACCTTGTGCAGAATGACGGCAAAAAACACAATCACCTGTACAGTGACTTGGCCTGTGGCCACAGCAGCACCGAGAGCAAATCCATCAGCTGGAGACGAGAATGATCATTTTAATTGGCTATTAGCTTATAAAGTAAAAAAAAAAGTGGCCTGCGTTAAAATGGCTTTGATAGGGTGTGAAGTCAGATTTTAGCTCAAGGAAACTTATTTTAAGAGTCTGAAGTCAAGGCCTCTTGGCTTAAAAAAAAAAAAAAAAAAAAAAAAATCACACAGTGCATGAATCCTATGCTGAGTCACATGAGGGCATGAATATCCTGGATTTGTTGGGGATTTCTCATGCTTGTGTCCTATGAATCCTTATGCACTCACAGACAGAGAGCCCAGCATAAAAAAAACAAACAAAAAAACAGCTTAACAGCTTAAATTCCTTATGTAATATGTTAAGGTTTTTGTTTGTATAACTTCACAAGGCGTGAATAGTTTCTGAAGGTTCTGGATATTCAGGTGACATTTCATGAGACAACATACCAGCAGCATGGATAACCAGCCCCATGGTGGCTGTGATGTGAGCGTTGTTCGACATTTGTGTTGTTCGATCTGAAATCAGACGTGTTTAGATGATAAACAAAGTGATGGAAGGTTGGATCTAAAACATTGCTCCAACAGTGAGTTATTTAAACTTACCCTGCTTGGAAAAGTATCCCCCAATCTGATCAACAACAAACATGAAGGTGAACCCAAAGGTCAAAGCTATGCTGACATAAAACCGAGGCGGTGAGCTTCCATCGCTGGAAGATGCACTTTCTTCACTGGCGTTCGGTGCTAATGGAGAATCAGAGGATTCTGCAGACAAAAGATGGAGGGGGGGATCAAAGTGAGGAGAGAACAGCTCCAACTTCAATGGTTTGAAATGAAACATGCACATTTTAATGGGAGAGGATGGGCTGCATCATGTCACAGTTGTCAAAGCAACCAAAGACAAAGAAGGTAGAGGGATGGGAATCAGGTTGTAAAAAATTCAAACCTCTCCACGAATCCTCCAGTAAGCCCACACCCTCAGGTATAGTGATGGCCAGCGCGGTCCCACACAGTAGGCCTGCTCCCAGAATGGACACAAACTGCAGGCTTTTCTGTCAGGTTTGAAATTCAATACATCAGTTTAGGCTTTATTCGTAAAACCTATTAAGCCAGACCCAAAGATAAGCCATAGAAGCTGCTATTTGGACCCATGGTCGGGGGGCTTCAACAGTGTGGATCCCAGAACATTTTAGTACAGTTTCTCAAGTAGCTGTTTTAATACAAGAGTTTTTTGTATCTAAAACAATGAAATAACCCCGGTGTAATTGATTTAGTAGTTTAAACACATCAGGGACAGGAAATGCTAATGGTTGAACTAACCCTAACTTCAAAGGACTCCCAACTATACCTCATTTTTAAGTCAACCCCCAACAAGCAACAAGATTAATTAACCATTAAAACCTGAAATTTGATAAGACAAACCAGTTATGATATCATACATGAGTTTTTTTTTTTTATGTAAGAGCTTCAGGGGGGTGGGGCTAACACGTGAAGGGGTGTCCAGGCTGCAGCCATATGCTCTTGGCTCGTTTTGTTACCTTCAAAGAAACACGCAGTGTGCTCAAGAGGTTAATAAATGTCCCAGCACAGCAGCGGAGGTTCAAGTTCTGCTAAATATCAACTTTAAAAGATAAAAATGGAAGTGCCCCCAGGAGCTCTATTCCCTCACCATCTCAACAGCACCAACCCCATACTTACTTCTCATTTCACTTTACCAAATAAGACTATTTAATGCAGGTCCTAAGCATGAAATAAGGATAAAAACATTTAAATTACAGATTGCAATTCGACAAAAATAGCAAAAAAGCCAAGAGTAATTGATAACTTCCCAAGAGGGTATAAATTATGCTGTTTATCATTTAAAAAATGAAGTAAACACGTGTAAAGTTACTTATTATAATGTTATTCTGTTATTAAAGTGTAATAATTTACATTGTGTTTAAAATAGTGATATTTTCTATGTATACATATGGACAAAAACACAAGACAAACAAACTTGAATAGTCTTTCCTAATTCTACAATGATCTAGACCTTTATTTAAAATTCCACCAAATAATTATTACTCATACAATTAATTACAATTAAGCCCCTAATAAGAGCCCCTTTTTAACCTTTGACCGCCCCTGGACGAGCATCATCCCTATGAAGCGAGTTAAAAGATTAAAATATACTAGATCTATACTGATAGATCGACCTGTTGGTATTTTTTAAAAGAGGGAGTTAAAATAAAACTTACCACAGAGAGTTTGAACAACAGCGGAATGAATCCCAGCAGGAATGAGCCTATAAACATCGCCACAGATATAAAAGTAATAGTCAGCCCCTCGTCCATGGCGACGGCTGCTTCCTCCCAGGTCCTATCACCTTTTAGCTGAATCTCGTCTCATTTATTTATGTCAGGTTCTCCAGAAAGCTAAAAGGTCTCTCAAAGTTTCCTCGTTACTTCTTTTGTTTATGTTTCCACGTCGCACCTCTGTCTTCCTCCCTTTCCCCTGGAGAACCTCCCTCACAGCCAGCCTGAACCTGGCACGCTTTAGCTGTGCGCAATTGTACGGTTTATTACGGTACGTCTTATGAACTACTTTCAAATTAAAAGCTTCCTTTTGACACAGAGCCAATCAAAGCCAAATTATAATTCGAGCAAACTGAGATTATTTATAGTTTATATAAGAATGTTGATTCCAAAACGGGGACCCCTTTAACAAACAATAAAGCCGATGGATCATACGGAGAAAAATATAAAGGCCTGTGACAGTTCTGGTATTTCAAAGTCCACGATAAAATATTCATACAAATAAATAACATAATTGCAAAATAAAAAAATCCAGACAGAAAATACATTTTTCTTAATCATTTTGTTTCATAAAACTAATTAAACAAATCCACTAAACTTGGTGTAAGGGGAGGATAAACTATTTCTGGTAATGTATACCATTTATTGTTATATAACCTCCAAAGTAAGGCTGGGCAGATAAAAAAAAAAAAAAACAAAGCTTCTCAAGTAAATTTCCCTAAATATAACCAAACATCTAGAACGCCATTTGCAGGAGGTTTACAGTTGACAGAGCGATACTGAATTAATTTTCTTACAAGAATTGTATACATTCTAAATAGCCTATATAAATTATAAAACGTTTTTAAAATTATGAAAATGGTCAGACATCTTGGAAGTCTGCTTTTATTTTGAAGTAACAATAATACCGTAATAAAAGGTATTTGGGCAGTGTGAAAACCGGCTCCCAGCTGCGCATCAGGTTTTTTGAAGCTTTGTTGCCAGTATACTGGTATCACTGGGCTGTAACTAATAGAAATTGGGATAATAAAATTTTTTAGATAATACATAAAAAAAAGTTATCTATAAGAAAGAATATCATGTATTGCAGAAAAAAAAAATCACTTAATGAATTCCTGCCATTTATTTAAGCAATAATATGTGGGGAAAAAGATATAAAAATTACCTTTAATAGAGCTTAGAAAATAAATATGTTATTAGAAAACAATAGTATTTTTCTTCACAAAATATATAAACTAAAGTCAAGTTAGGCCAGCATCTGACTTATGAAAGGTAGGAACTATATATATATATATGTATATATCCGCTTTTAAAGCCAAGTTCTATTCAATGAGGTCTTTAAAGCTAAAAAAAAAAAAGTCATTTTTGAGCTCCAAAAACTGAATAACTGATCACAAAATGTATGGAAGAAAGGGTTTTATCCCTCAACATACATGTAGATCGCACCAGGAAATAGATGAACTGAGACTAATCAGCCAATGTTGATTAGATGAAGATTTATTGTTGAGAAAACTCCACAGCAGTATAGACATACACAACATCCTATATCTGCTGAACAGATGTGGTATTGGAGAGAATGATAAACCAAGTTAAAGGTTCAAATCCCCAATTGCTACTTCAACACAAAGAACTCGACAAAACAAAAACAGACATTTAAACTTTTTAGTGTGAAGAAACATTTTACCATCTTTTCTAAACATACAGTGGAAACATTAAGAGGGCAATCTGTTAGCTCGGCCTTTTACAATAAGCCATTCATTTCCAGTTTCTTTTCAACCATCTATAAAGAACACAGATAAAACAAATGATCAATTCGCACTGATGAAATGCCAAGACGCAGAACTAGACATACATGACTTTTGTTACAGTATAAAAATGGCCATTTCCTGATTAGCAAAAGAAAACATTCAGATATTCATTAATTATTTTGTATTTATCCAACAGAGACTATATTCAGCACTAAAACACAGAAGCTGAGATTCCAAACATCTCCCTCACAATGTGACGTTGTTTGTTACCCTGACAGGACACATTCAGAGGTTTTTCCAGTTATCTAAGATTTAAAGCAGCTCATCCAATCATGACAACAGAGGCAGCAGGTAAAAGCAGTAGTGTCAGTTCTAGAGTCGTCCTCAAAACCTCCATATGCAAAGTAATGGTGCTAACAACCCCATGGAAGAAGTAACTGCATGCTCCTCTGCATCAGTCATATCAGTGAGAAAGAACATTCTATTGATATAAAATATTAGTGCATAATATTCAACAGTGATTGATTAGTTGTTGTTTTTTTTTTTGCATTAGTTAGTTTCTTTTAAAAAAGTAAAAAAAAATTCAAAAGATCCTGAGAAACTGCATGGGCACTAGGGTTTGATATAATTTGTTACATAGCATTTGATGTTTGGTTAGAATCCAGAAGCTACTTCTGCTAGCTGAGGCTAATCATGAATGTGTTAACTATTCAAGATGGAAGGTATTTAGCATGAAGACATCCCTGTAGCAGAGATATCAGTGTGTGATGAACTACCAAATGATTTCCCCTCAGCTCCAGAAGCAGACATGACATCATATTCTGCCTTTATAATTACATTCCTTTCATGGTACGGAAGAGAAAAAGGGAAACATCTTCCACCTGTCCATCCAGTGTTAGAGCTCAACACTTCTGCAGCCAAGAACCAAAATCTGACATGTTACTGCAAAAAATTTGTTTGAATTAATCTACTCGGCTGCTGTAGAAACTGGGGGCAACAAGAACTTTGTGCATCCGACCTAGTATAGGTCAGTAGTGTACATACAGTAATAATTTTTTATGCGTTGAATCTGGAATCATTTAAAAAGTAATAACTTCAATGAAACTTAAAAACATGCATTGAGAGAATAAGGTTAACTTCATCAAGTATTTTCTCTAAAACATAAAAGTGCATAAATGTTCCTTAGAGTTGAGGAGCTTAATGTCACTTTAGCCATTTTGGACAAGTGTTAAAGATTGTTGCTTTGAAACACCAATTGATGTCCGACTTTTAACCGCCTGACCTTAAGATTAAATGAGTTGGGATTATGAGGAACTGAAAAAGCTCAAGAATAATAATTGGAAGATTCTGAAACATCAGTGTTACTGTCTTAATAGGGAATAGACCGATATCAAACGCTTCCAAAGGGACTGAAGTCAAATTATAATCACCAGATGTATGTTTGGAGGCATCATGGCAAAGCTTTGAAACATTAGAACTTTGTGCCAATTATAAAACACGATGGTGGCAGCATCATGCCAAGAAGCTGTTTCACTTCTAGTAATAGCAGCAAAATGCAACTGGGTATAGAAAAAATAAAGACTATGATTGAATAATTTAGCTTCAGCTCGAATTAACACCCTGGTGGCGGAAATTTGGGCACATTTATGTGCAAAGGGAAATGACCTCCACCTCACATGGAGTGGATACAGTAAGAAATAAAGCTTGTGAACAGTTCCAGTACTTCATGCCAATAAGTCTGCTTTGTAAGATATGATGAAAAAAGGATAAAACATTAATAGGACGAAAGTTAATACCAGAAAATCTTTTAACGCCTAAAGAAAATTAGTGGTTTCTGTACAGGCTGCTTAGAGACATGCATTTAAGTGTCACTTGTGGAAATGTATCTGCATATTTTATTTAAGTCTGTTTAGTTTGCATTATATCAAAAAGCTTGTGCACCCTGTCATATCTTTAAACGTTTTTAAAGTAGTTTGTTGTGTAATTATAACATCTGACAGGCACAGAGATTTAAAAAAGTGTGAAAAAAAATAAATGGAAATTAAGGATGTGTAGGAAATTCATATAGCCAATTGAAGAACTATTAGCAGGTCATCTAAACTTGATGTTTTTTTTTATCTAAACCTCTACGTCAAGCTGTAAACATTCACAATAAGATTTAAATGAAAACATTTCATTAGGAAGTATTCATACTGTGATCTAAAAAAACATCGCCTCTGAGCAACATTCTCAGCTTTCAGTTCGGTTGGAGCAGCTGGGCGAGAGTTTTCCACAAGTGGTAACATCAGCAGCAGAGGTCCGACACAGCAGCAGGTCCTTAAAAGGCTCAGAGGCAGAGGGAAAGCACTGCAACAGTGTGGTGTGCTATGAGATCAATTAAATACCGTATTCCACAGTTTAAAGTTGCACCAGATTGGATAGTATTTCAAAAAAATATTCTGCTTGCAATAAATATAAAAAAGGCTACTTTAGTTATGTAGATGTAGTGTCAGAGCTTCCAGGAGTGTTAGTAGCACATTTCTCATCTTTATAAACTTCTATGGATTTGGAAAAAAACAGTTTAAGTCCATTACTAGAGCTCAAATTAATCAGCTGACATTAGTAGGCTGCTTATTCATGGAAGCATCTAATGCTGACAGACAAAGCTTTATTAAAAAAAAGCTGCTCCATCTTTTGAATTTGCATGCCATGATGCAGTACCTCAGAGAAACTTGAGCTTTCCAGTTTTTTTTCTTCAAGTGCAAAAAGTTAAGAAAAAAAGAGAGCTTCTCTCCCCAAAAAAAGGCACCAAGTCTTCCTTTGTGCATCAGAGTCTTCTTTCATCAATCTGCACTGCTCAGTCTCGTTTTTCCGCTTGTTAGATTTTCTCTTCAGGTACACGGTAATATAACGAGACCCAATGAAGAAAACGTCCTTCAAAGCAACCTTTTAACCTTTAGTAGACGATGTGCTTATATTAGTTAGGATAAGTTCCCTCAATGGAGGCTTTGATGCTTTGGTGAACTGCTGGTCCAGTTCCATGTTAGTTTCACACATTGAGTGCACTCATCAAGTTTTACTTGGTGCCTGTCTTCCTCTCCCAGACTGCCTCAGTGCCGCACCTCGTTCTCAATGAGGCTGTCCTCCCCAGACTGGAAGTCAGCGGTCAGGTTGTTATCAGTCTGGATAATTTCCTCATCCTGTGAGGAGCCCTGCCCATCGTCCTCTCCGCTGCCTGATGCAGCCTCCTCTGATTGGAGATCTTGAAGTACCTGACATATGTACATTTGCTGTGGGGGAGAAAACAAAATAAGAGTGTTAATTATCTATAACAGCACAAATGTATTCATCACAAACAGGCTTATTTATTTAGAGTTCTGTATGTCTTTATATTAAACTGTATACAGTAATTACCGTCTATGTTTCCTGGGTATTACCAACTGACTGGGTTCTAAAAGCAGCACACTCTCCTCTAAAACTCTGTAATGAGTTGGAACGAGTCTAGATACAAACCATGTTTTTTATTGATAAC